CGAACTCCAACGTTGCAGGTAATTCTAGATCCAACCAAGGGCAGCATCCTTGACTACGTGGATTCCGTGCCCGTGAAGACTGGATAATTCCAGGTGATTGACATCGGTCGCTCTCTCTTTGTTGGTCGCGTCACCCCAACTATTGCCTTCAATCTGTAGGTTGGTCGTGCAGTAGCGGTGCTGTCTGAAACTGTGCTGCTCCGATGCTATGGAATTACAGCGTTCTAGATGGTCAACTGAAGCCTCTAAGGTAATTACCTCCACCACTTAAAAGTGCCGGGAGGAGGACCTCTAGGCGATAGTTCGTGGGTTCGGAGCGATTGCCGCTTTTGAAAATTAGCGTGATACGTCCATGTTTTCACATGGTAGGCACCATATGTTTATGCAAGCACTTTTGGAAGAAAAGCTCTAATGACTCGGCTCGCGTTGTTACTGTTACGTTTAACGCTCTCGAGCGAATGTCACCGACTCCAGGAGAACTCTAGGTGCGTGGTGACAACAGGTTCCGCACCACATTTTGATGGTAAACGTGATGTGAATAATTGTTGAAATTATGACGATGGAGGTGGATATGTAGCACTGGCGGGTGTCTAGTTACGAGGTCGAGGCTTGCTGCATCCACAATGCTTTGGCTGCTTCTTCAGCATTCAGAGCCACTCCGACCGTAGTGTTAAGGGGAGCATACCGTGATTCGCTTTGTAAATATGGTTGACACGCTTGTATCGTAGGTTTATACCTTTGGAATATATACACATCAGGTATTGTTGTTAAGCCACTTTGTCCTCATAGAATAAGCGTATTACAAAGGCTGCACAGCGCCACGTAGTCGCTTCAGCTTTCGGGACCAGGACGGACGCTGTAGGCAATCTAAACTGTATTCCTTTGCTCACGTACATTTTTGAGTTCTATTTGTGATACACGGTGATAGCTTGGTGGAGCGAAATGATCTAGTTTTGGAAGCATTTACGATCAGGTTGCTGTGACGTTCAACAAACTGAATCCAAAGGAGCGGTCTTTTACGAAGTCCCCAAGGGTCCTCGTAACCAGGTTTGTCAGGATGTTGTAGCGTGTAATGGTGCATGTCGGTTCAATGTATTCCTCTGGGTATTCGGCGTAGCACGCATAGTTGTTAGGTATGGTGACATGATTGCTTAACCCTACTGGAATGTCAATCAATGTCATATCGACCACAAGTTTCTCATTCGTAAGTACTAAGTTTAGTAATGAGGGCTGATTATCACCTCTGTACCTGGCGGGGGTTATTAGATTGTACAATTGAATACATGCGATACTTCCTTGCAGTTCGGCCTTGAATGTTTCACTGAGGGATGTCAAAGCGTCCAGGATGTGTAATTCTCATATTATGTGGGAATCCATCTCTGGAGTAGACATTGGGGGAGGGGGTGATAGGCAGCTGTCCTGAACCACTCACCATCGTGTTCGAGACATAAACGGCACCATGGTTAGTGACCCACGTCGGTACAACATCCAATGCTTCACAATAAAAGTCGTTGCCTCAGTGCGAGATCACTCTAACTCCGTTCCTGGGACGATCGTTTTGGAGGAGTAATATTCCTTGAATCGCTATTTTTGGATCCGTAGACTCTGAGACCAATCAGGTCTCGGTTATAGAAATGAGGTCCCAACCGTTTGTTACCTGATGTAGCCGAAGCGCGCTAATTTCGCAGAGAAGGCCTTGAGCGTTAACGTACATGTAGGAAAGCTTTCCGGTACTCAGTAGCGAACCGAACGACATATGGTTCGGATAAGATATTGTACGAACTGTTATATTGTCTGCTGCTAGTCGTTTTCTGGTAGTACTAACGGTAAGTGGCGTGGCGGTGGGCTCAACAATCTCGTATTTAGTCCCTCTGGCAACTCATTTTGCACAGTGCTTGTGATGTGTGTACAGGCATGCATAAGCTGAACCATACACTTTTTCCAGAGTTGCTCTCAGTGTGCGATTCGACTGGAATCCACAATTCATTTGCCTTCCGAAGTTGTGTTTGAATCGGATTACGGCGTTTTTTGCCTCTTTGGACTGGAGCTGAGTTGGAAGTCTGTTAGGTAGTGACTACTAGAGTTCCAATCTGCTACTTGTCATCTGCTTGGTTTGAAGCACTATCTTCATTATTGTTGGTACGCTCCCATTGTAGTTTGTTGTAAAGTTCGGTAAGTAGATATTCCGGTGGCATTCCAGCCGGTTATGTTACTCAGGTAGCTGGATGTGGTGGCCCATCGGTTTGGTATTGTGACTCATTTTGTGGTGGTGGCGACAAACATGACTGTGTCTTCGGGATCGAGATGGTCATTATGAAACCACTCTGTAGGCGTAGTTGCTTATCACTTCATGCTCAAAAAATTAACAGTTTAGGTTGCTATGGCTTTTATAGGGACCCAACCTCACCACACGATCACAAGCTGAAATCGTTCGCAGTCCCGACTAACGATGCCCGCGTACGTGATGAAATCATCGGCAGCGCACTTAGCCAGCTGCAGACATTGGAACCGGGTATAGAACAGCGAGGACTGTTCACCAGAAATCTACGACAACTTTCAGACCGTCTCATCAAAGGTAAGGTCGCGGAGGTTCTTTGACAAGATTAATTTGGTATACCGTTGATGCTCGACCGTGCCCAGTTTGCGTAGAAACAGCCGGACTTTCCACGCGTCATCCTGACAAGCCAGGTCAACGGTAAATAGATCCTCATACCGCTTATACCAAGAATCGAAGGTAACATGAGCGCCAGGATGGTACAGGAACTCCGAGATACTGCCAGCGATATTGTCAACCGATTGAGAGCTGCCCGGGGAACCTGACTGAATGGAAGAACTGAAAGATTTTTCTCTTAAGGCAGACATCAAATTGAGCTGTTGTCGGAACAGCGACTTAAAATCATTGTGCAAAATCTCCATGGCTCGAAACAACCCACTTTGTTATGACTCCCTTGGTTACTCCACGCTCTGACGATCTGGTATCAACTCTCCTGGTCGGACGAACGACGATGTAACCGACAAAATACGAACTTTGTACGACCCGTGAGACTTAGGCACAACATGCTTACTATGCGCAAGTTTAACGGGCTCCTATACCGAACGCAATTTCACGCGTGACTACCCGAACCCGAGAGAATAAGACAAAAGACACGCCTTTCGCTACAGGCACTTTTACAGGCCAGCCTCAAAACGATTACAGCGCAGTCCAACTTTGCTTATATACCGCGATTGTAAAATATGTAAATGTTCACGTAAAACGGTCTGCGTAAGCAAAGCATGGAAGCAAGACATACGTAAGTGAATTGGCACTATGTGAACATGCCAACGAAACATGTCGGAAAGTGAACGCTGGTAGATGCAGAGGCTGGACTGGAAAAATGAATGTTTTGTTAGGTAAAAAGGCTGAATGTTTCATGGATGCAGAGGTTAGCCGGAAACAGAAATGTTTCTTAGGAACAAAGGCCAATCGAAAGTGAATGTCTCACGAGGTGGAAAGCTGATCGAAACATGCGCACTGGTCTGAATACGAGTCTCATGGTCTTCCGTGGTTTTAGTATGTAATCTTGTAGGGACGTTTGGTCCCCATAACAGTTGGGGACAAATAGCCTATAAATTAATTAGTTGCCGTTTACAGTGTAGTCTCTGGTGAATCTAGATAGCACAGTTACAGGAAAATAGAATCGTCAATTCTCCAAAACCATTTTCCCAAGAGACCGACATGTTACTCACTGGTTTTCGACGCCCTTATAGATTACTTCTAGGGGCCAAGGTCATCTTGAGTTACAATTTCAATGTCGTATTCCTTAAGACACTATCAACAAGATTTGGCCTTCGAGCGTATACATGTTATTCGGCTGGTAAAGTACAGCTGGCTCATTTGGCCGTTACAAACCCAAGTAGATTCCCGCATTCCATATATAAGCACCGTCCTGTTTCCACTGGAGCAATCTGTGATATTCCTGACTGTCTATAGGTTGCAAATCTTGATCTCATCGAAGTAATTTACACGCGACGTAATTAGTAAAGAGCAAAAGTAAGCGAGACACTATTGGATTGGATATGTCGCCACAACGTCATCATCATCACCATTACACGTTAGCTGGAGGTGGAAAACACTTCAGCTATTGTGCCGCAATACAAAAGACAAGAAAAGAAAAACAAACAGTGGCATGCCCGCTGAGCCCCCAGTAACGGATGGACATCGTTCCGGAGAGCTAACAGCTGGCTGGTGTAAAAGAGAGTCATATTATGCCTAACGATTGAGATCGTGATTGGAGGGGAATGCTAAACAGGAGGGGGATGGACAAAAGAACTCACAACACAAACGCCATTGGGGCCGGCTCCTAGCCATATCAGCAAGTGTGTCCAACCAAACGTGCTCACAGTCCTTAGGACCCCACCCAGGCAGTCGGGATGCACCAACCGACGCCAACTTCGAAGCGAGGGTTTTCATTTCTCTCGACCAAGTTATCACTTGGCCTCCCCTCCTCCTCTTCCAACCGCACCCACAACGCGCAAACAATGCACGCCACAACGTGGCAAAAGATAAATTAAGTAACAGCTGTTTGGTTCGGTTATATCTGATGATACCACGGTTAGACTATTGTCGTCTTAAAAGATTATTTTGCCATAAAAAGAACACTTGTACTTATTGAGTGCAGCACCCAATTTCCATCTGCTTTGACTACAGTCCCAGTGATCGTAGTGACTAAGGTTCAATTCAATGTGAACCGGGGTCCACTTTGAGATTGTGAGTCGTAATCCAATCACACAACGTGTAGACCAAAGTTGACCCTCCAACTTGTAATTATTGTTCCTACTAGGGATCGTTCCTATGATGAGTCAGATCAAGATATGGTTACTATGCTTGTTCGGTTACGCAAGTTGCAAGTTGTGGCAACGAATTTGTGATTCGGGTTTGAAAATCCATAGTGGTTTCATCCGCTCCAGCTGAGTGGAATTCTCGATGTTTTGATCGGAATATTCTCGATTGATATTTTTAGATGAACGCACTTCGAATCACTAAAGTCGCATATTGGATCTACACGTGGCTTTCTTTTTGGGATAAATTTACATTTTTTCACGCTAAACCGTCACAAAAATAATCTCGAAATGCCGCTCTTACTGATGATTAATACTTGCCTATATACTTTCTCCTTCAGCTACGAGTGTCCAAATATTTCTTGTACGCCATCCACCTTGCTCTCAGCTTTGGCCTAACTTTCATTCTTATATTGCTGATAGCATATTTATAACTGTTGAGAGCAACATGTACCAGTCGTAACAGTTTTGCCGCTTTTGTGTTTCACACCAAATTTACACCAATGTTTGTCTTTACATTTATTGATCTTTGGGTGGGACAACTTTTGCAATAGAATCTATTAAAATCACAAGGTGGCTTGACTTTTAGTAAAACTCATCTTTCCGGTTTCGACGAATAAGTTTTTCCTTATTGAGATTGCCTTTCCGAAGAAACCGTGCCGTTCAGTGCCAAAATTGAGCTCGAAAGCTTCACCAGTCTAGTTTTGCAACGAACACTAACAGACTTCAGGGTATATTTTATTGTACAAAAACTTGCAAAGTTACGCATGTTTGTAACACACACCGGGAACATTCGGTGCACAAGATGCTCATAATGCGTTTAACAAATCGACTGCACACATGTCGCCGCGTGAGCTCATTTTCACCGGTGTATTGGAATGCGTCTTCTCTCCAACCCAGGGTAGTCAACGCTTGGCTTGTAAAAACTGCTGTCTTTGTTGGTCCAGCATCTCCTCCAGGTGTGCTGCACGCTGATTTGCGGATTCCACTTCGCTGAGCTGAACAGCGAGTTGTTTTTCAAATTGTTGCTTCAACGCGTTTATTTTCTCTTCCTTCTTTCTAACGGCTTCCTTTATTCTGAATCGAGAGAATCAAATGAGTGGCTGTGGATGTGAGTGAAAGAAGTCAACTTTCACTTGGGCTTGCTCGATTTACTTGGCTTAGTCTCCACCTAATGACACATTCACTTGTTATCACTTTGCTTTCGTGAATCTATTTAGGTCCGATCAGTTATGCTACCTGTAATTGCATGGGTAAATTGCCATACCAACGATGGCTAGATTGCACTCCAAAGAATACGACATACTAGGACCTAGTCGTTTATCCTAGAGCTGGATACTCAAATAAAGTAATGAGGTTATATTACCCAGTAGCTGTAATTAGCCGCCAATCGCCTCGTCGTGTCCGGGAAGGTGTCAGGTTATGGATATAAGGAAGCCCATCAGTGGTTGTATATTGCCGAATTGAATTCTACGTTTGACAGATGAATACAATTGGAACTTGAATCTAACATTTCACACAGCATGTGTCGGCATATTCTCTCCAACTCAGCCACTGAAAATTTAAAGGAGACTCACTTTTGATGCAACGTTTCCAGTTCTGCTTGAGTTGAGTGCTTCACCGCATTCAGCTCAGCCTCATGCTTTCCTTGCTCGCTCATCAAACGCGCTCGCAATTCCGCCGCGTCACGTTTCAGCGTACGATTCTGTTCTTCCGCCAAAACCAGACGATCGGCGAATTCTTGTCTTACGATATCAGATATGTTTTGACGTTCTTTGCTCAGTTTTTCATACTGGGCACGGATCTCGGTGATCTCTTCCTCCTTCTGCTTTCCGGATATCTGATAGCGTTCACATTCGTGTTCTTTGTCTAGAAGTTTTGTCTGTCGTAGGGAAATGTTACCGTTAGTATTGATTAGTGGCAGTTGTAGAGATATTTACCAGTTGACATGCGTCGGTTGCCAAAGAGGGAACACGAGATGTAACTTCCAACAGTGTTCGAGTCATAAGTAGATGCGTACACATAGAGACAACAACTTAAATGACATTATTCCGAAGCGATGGTAACTATGCGGATACGCAACATTGTAGAATTCTTACTGGTCCCGAAATTGTCTTTATCAGAAAAAGGGTTCAAATCTACCTTTCTCAGTTAGTGGTCTTAGTTTATACATGTGAAACAACCTATAGTATTCCTAAATGGAAATTTTGAATCTTGCGAAGTCTGATTAACAGTATTTGAAACTCAAGCCAAAATGCATAGCAAGCGAAACGCAACATCAATCGAGGTCTGGTCTTACCTTCATCTCGCGATATTTTTCCATGGCATGTTTCTCGGATCGTTCAAGCTCGACTATTTCGGCTGTTAACTTGTCACGGACGCGTCTAAACAGACCGAGAAAGAGGTGTAAATGACAGACTTCATTTTGTTTTCAAATTCCCTTTTCATAAATATGCAAGTAACCCTGGCTGAAAGTTTCTGCCTGAGGTAAGGTTCCATAGGAATTAAACGAAATTGTTTTACCATACAATGAAGAGAGAATGGTTAATCATAACCAAGAGACCGTTTATGCATTTCTTGCATTATAAACTATGACCTTAGAAAACTCTAAAGTTCAGCCGTCTAGTTTGATTAGTATTGCTGGCGTACTGTCAATCGTGTTACTGCGCCATTGATCTACCGCAAGAGCAACGGTGCAAAAAATATTTGATCGGCAGCAAGAAATGGGGATATTTCGCCTTGTAATATAGGTGCTACGGCGATCACTAGTATAGGTACTGTGCAACAATTGCGTCACCAGTGTCATAAGAGCTGCGAGCTTCAGAATTTCGAAGAATAGAGTACATTGTCCTTGGAGAGCATGCCAATACGCGCTGTATCTTTGCTTACTCAGTGAGACTGAAAACTAAATGAGTTGCTCTAATCTCACCTATATTTCAATTCTACTTCTGTGTTTAGTCTGATGCACCAACGTTCTCGGCATATTTATCTAGTAATTCTGGTGATGAAGGGTAAGTGTAGAGGGTTAAACGAGGGGGCGAAATATATCCGCAAGAGAAGTCGAATGTTAGATGCAAAATTTACTAGTTGTGAAGGAACTTTACTTAGGAAATATCAATCACCACCGTCAACTTTGATGTGTTTGGATCAACGGTATTCCACGAATCGAAAAACGCTTTCTAGTCCGGGGAACTCACTGACTTAATTAACTTGCTTGCAGACTAGAGAAGGGTAATACTTAAGAGACAGTCAGACAGCCTACACAAAGCTAAACATGACGACCGGGTATTTTCTTTGAAGTAGACAGTGATGATGCATACATTAGGGCGAGGTGATCTCAAATTTGTCACAATGTGGTTACACCGATCGGGTTGGTCGATTGCATAGGCGTTGGTGCTGAAATGAATACCAACGTACTGAGCGGCATCAATCACTTGTTCCGACGTGCAATTAGTGAGGTGCTGTTTCATTAGGTTATTGTGAGTCAAACATTTCATTTCAACGTCCTGCCTATGATGCAGGCATCGAGGTGCGGTAGACCCAATTGCCATGGCACATGTCGTAAACATAACCACAACGGTGTCAGTAATAAAATGATTTGTAAGCAAAAAGCTCGAAATAGACTCACTAGACGAAGTAGATGTGCATCGGAACTGATGGGACAAATTCAAGAGCGTCGCTGATTGTACGATTGTGCCGCATTCGATAGAGTATCTAACCGTTAAAATGATCTATGCGTAAAGGTACAAACCGACTAAGCGTTTCATTGAGGAGCTCCGAACACTTTGCCTTGTCACTGACTAGGTATTGGAGAACAACGCAGGCTGGAGTAGCCAGTTCGCTGGAATGCGCAGCAGATGGCCGAGACAACAATGGGGGGAACAGAAGGTCTATTGCTAAACGTCAGATAATAAACTGCAGTGCTAGTTACTCTGCTCGCCAAACACATATGGAAAACATAGATCAGGCCCCAGCGACCAACCATTGTAAGTCTTCTAATATCCAGGTCATAGCGGCCAGGTCTATGAACCATGGAGTAACACGGTGCCACTGTATCGCTACAGACCCTTACTCTAACCACTCAACAGAGAACTCGTCTTCTTCATAGGTGCTTGAGGCATTTGAAAAAACCATACGAGACTACAGAATATATACGGACATTTCATCGATGATCTATCTATTAGAAATAGTTTAGCTACCTAAATAATTGAACAGACAGAAAGGTTCGAGTCCTTCATCCATGGTTTTGAATACTGCTGCACTATGATATTGCAAGGCAAATTGCTCAAAGCTACGCGTTGGCGTACTGAGTAGAGCTTGCATATTAGCCGGGTCAAGTTCAAAGGGTAGTAAATCCTACCGGTATCTTACAGGAATTTCCACTCAGAAAATGGAGAAGGCAGGATGGGATCATTCCTGATCATTTCGATCACAAAGTTGAAGATGCACTGAGAGATATGTTAACTGCGGCGTACTTCCAAGGTTGTAGGAACACAGGGGAAACGTCAGCTACTCCCCAAAATAGCTAGAGAGTTTTGATACAGAGATTTCAGAATAGAGATAAACTTCGCCAGTACGGATTTCGAAGTAAGGCATAGTCATAGGAATTTACGATCACCAAAATCAATGAGAGGTTACACTTCAAAGAATGTAGGTTATTTGTTCGAGAACCTAGCGAAAAGTAACAATGTGATTGATGTACCCTTTGCAAAGACTGAAACTAACTTGATTTCTACTGACTCGGCTCTTACGTGGGTCAGAGTGCTGCCGCATTATGGTGCGCTTAGTTGTTTGTAGGCAATTGAGCTATGATGCATATCATAACGATTCTCACATTATGATCCAGAAAGCATTTTAACTTCACAGATTGACAATACAGTTGATGAGGGTGCAACTTTCAAGCTGAAAAGTTAGGCGGACCAGAAAAGGTGTGCGTTTTGATGACACGCTCGATGGCGTGGTCAGACTCGACATAAGTGTTCCAAATCGACAGACAATCTTGCGCTGATGAATGGGACTGGCAAGTGGTGACAACGTTATCAATCCGAGTCCGAAGAGGCTTAGCCACTTATTCAGGCAGTCTGCTGATCTTACTTGCCCAACAAAAGGGAGAAACCCGATTAGTTGTCAGCAATAGAATTCGAACCGCTACATAGACACAACAGAACTGTTATAGTACATTCCTGCTGACAATTTGTGTTTCCCAATATGTGCACAATTGCTGATACTTCAAAAATGGCTTCAGTTTTGTCTCTATGGATCGCGTGGATACATTCCTTAGCCAAACAAATAATTAAACACTTTCTGTCATTTTCATCGTTTTGTTATACTTATCATCAGAGTTGTGTTCTTCAAAATTGTCATCATCATCGAAACCTCATCGTCGTGGTTGATAACACTGGTTATTATCAGTAAGGTGAATTCAGTGGGTGAGGTTGGGTAGGAACTATAACATAGTAAGCAACTTCGGTAATTACTAGTACTCGGATAGCGTGGGAATTAATTAAAGTGCACGTCAGCCAGTTGCAAATGTCGTCACTTGAACCTAGACGATGGAAGTGTATGTTAGCAGTGAAGCCGCATCGGCGTCCCTGAGCTTCATAGCTGCCACCCAGACGTAATGAAATCACTCTAAATTTTGCTCGTATCAGAAACTGAGCTGAGATGTTAAACGAACTGACAAACCGGTATACAATGTCAACAGATTGCCCAGATAAACAAAGATTGTCCTTTTGGCTAGCCTCACGTAAAGGATTCTGGGTTGGAGATCAAAGCAAGTTAAGCTACCGTTGCTTACAAACGGTGTGTCGTAGTGTGTAATTAAAAGCGTCAAAGAACGCGTGAATCCGAAAAAATCTCGATTTATATAAACGTGTTTGTCACAGCTCACACACATCCTGATTACTCAGAACATCTAGCTGTGTTGAAGCTGCGCATTTCCCCACCAAACACACAATTCAGTGCAGTCTCCAACTAGCTTGTTATTGGGGATTTTCACTGAAATATCTGTGTTTTTGCCTAGGCGGACTGATGGAGCTGGTCGAACAGAATTTCTTCTGTCTATCGTAAGATGGAAATGCTATTTAGTGTGAGAATAACGTGGATGGTGTCGACTGGTGAAGCTAGTTATTTATAGGACGGATCGATACTCCTCATAAGCTACGTACGAGGGTGAAGATTCGGATAAGTGTTTTTCATTACAGCTTGGTACTTAGGCCGTAAGCTTTAGTTGCAGCTGGCTCATGACTTGATAACGGTGTCCGTCTACCAACCACGCATGAGCTGAAGTAACGCACCCTACTAAGCCTACTGGTCTAGTCATTATGGTAGAGAAGTCATAATTGTGTGCATAGGTTTACTATCACCACCGTCGATACGCTGGACACCAAGGTTGCCAGATGATATTGAGAAGTATGCTGCAGATGGTCTCTTCGAATAAGGACTATCAGCTTCGGAAGAAATAGTAAGATGCTTCCGATCTGTTTTATTCTGACTGACATGACAGCCAACTCGTTCGTTTATTAGACGAAATGTTCTCTGAGCTTGACAATCTTGTTGCAAACGTTTTGTCACCAGTCAAGGTGAGATTATTACTGCATTTGTGCGGATCGTTTTGTAGCGTAGCGTAAGTGTTAACCGAGCACTCAAGTGCGTGCGTCTTTATAGGTCATCGATATTGGTTGTTTGGGTATGTGAGTTTTGAAAACGGCCTCCTCGCCCCTTTCCTTGTGATCATGGCCCGTTTGTTTCTGAAGCCGAAAATGCTGCCTGAGCTGTTTGGGTGTTGTGTTTTTCCGGTAAGGCCACTCGACTGCGGTGATGTCCCTTAGCCCGTAGATTTGGGTAGATGGCGTTCAACTCAACGTGTCGGTTGAATGAATCCTTAGTAGAATGTCACGTTTCTAAGAATTCCCTTACCTCCGTATTGCCACGTGCTAGGTTCTTTACATTTTCCAGCTCAAAATGATGACCGGCTTCATTTTTGAGTATCGAAGCTAATGAATAGTAGTCACGCTTTTTGATCCTTGTGAAAAGCCTTCTTCTCGTTTGTCCGATGTACTGCTTATCAAATTCACTGCTGTTTAGCTATTAGATTGCATGGATTTGGCGGCCTTAGTTGGTTTTGTCCTTCGATCTTGAAAGTAACGCTCTCAGAGCAGCACTTGGTCTGTATGTTAGGGGGACTCTGGGCCGATGAAGTAATCGTACCACCAGTTCAGGCACGTACTGTTTGTTTGGAAGTATTACCCGTTTATTTGTTTGTTCAGCTGCTGCTGAGGCATTCTCCTCTTCAGGATTGTTCCACTAAAGTTACTTGGATATCTGTTGTTTTGTAACACCCAGTATAAATGGTTCTGCTAGTTCTTTCTCAATTCCATTGTGCTGCAGTGTGTTTCCGCTCTCTTGAAAAGATTTTGGAGGCAGCGCTTTTCATGGTTCACCGGGTGGTTACTGTTGTAGTACAATATTTGTCCATGTGTGTTTTCTTCGGGTATACATAAGTTTGAATTGTTCAGTCGTTGGGTCCCTGAACCAAAACATCCAGGAATGACAATTGGTTGTCTTCCTCCAATGTATTGGTGAAACTGATGTCCTCGTATTTGTTATTGATCAAAGCGTGCGTACGCTGTAACGAAGTTCGTTCTATTATCGGTCATGATATATGGCAGAAGTGAGGGCAATTGTTTCTTCAGTGTATGGGATACAAAGCTTTGGGTTGAACAGTAGCATGATAATGCGCTCCTGTTTTTGCATCACGCCTTCGACAATGTGCCTTGATATGGGTGTTATTTTAAACTTGTTATATTGGTCCAATGGAGAAACTTGTAGCCACGTATAACTCCAACGGTTCCCACAAACTTTCCGGTTTTGCTCGCTTGATTCCAGAGTAATTTCATCATGTTCTCCTTGGAAAATTAGTGGTTGATCCACGTGAAAAAACAGTGACGCAAAATGATAGCAGAATTTTCTCATTTTCTATCTTGACATCAAGCAGTTTGTCAAGAAACTGTTTAGCATCTTTTATGTTTTGCTTCAATCCGGTGAAGGGGTTTTTTCCTTTCTTCCAAAGGTCATTTACCAGCTTGCATGATGGTGTTCTTAGTAGCGAAACGATTGATCGAAGTGGGGCCCAGTCTTTGTGTACACCCGGCAGTCCATAGAATTGTGCAGAATTGGTATCGTCGGCTTTCATCTACCATCGTTCTTGGTTTCTGATTTCACCTGTTGATTGTAGCTTCTTCAGGGCTGTACTGATTCGGGTGCCTAGTTTTGAGCTGGAGTCCTGATTGATGTGGCGATAAATAATCGTGTCAGATAGTTTCAAATTCTTGGAAGATACTTGGAATCGATCGAGTATTCATGAGTTCAGAGAGGTTTGTAAACAATCGGCTGGTATAATAGTTTGGTAACGTTTCGTCCCCGACACGAGGACTTCGTCAGACCAGGTGAATCAGTGTGCAATTGGTGTGGGATTTTATAGCGAACAGGGGAGATAACCGAGTTACCCGAGACTTGAGTCATGATGTCATTACTGTAACAGTTGGTGATGTCACCTCAGGTGGTACGATCACAGTGGGAATATTATACCAGCCGATTGTTTCCAAACCTCTCTGAACTCGTGTCAGATAGTTGTTTGGACTACTCAAAGTAAGCCGGTTTATTCAACCTCACAGCGCTTTCCGCCGTAGAAGTGTCGTTCACCTCCACGGTTGGTAGCTCGTTTGCAGTAAGAAAGCTAACCTCATAGAAAGAGGACTGCATGTTCCAACTTCACGAGATCTATGGAGCATGGTCAGTGCGATGTACGGCTTGTGCCTGACTGAGTTTAGTCTTTAAAAGTTGTAGATTTAAAAGTTATTGCCCAGTTGTAGTGAGGTTGGAATGCTTTGAATCGTTAATGATTTCTTGAGGCTGTCGACAAAAGGGAATTAGAGTTTTATCTAAATGACTGTTTGCCATTCAACTTTTACTATTCTACAAAGACCTCATTTGCAAATACGCGGGAAATTCGAATATACTTTACTGGATTTAGACCGTGCAATAATACTGGCGTTTGTGCTAAAGTGGTCACCAGAATGGGGATCTTACTGGCTTGTAAGCATTCTAAAATCTACAATGGCACCTTAAAGAGGGGTCAAAGAGAGCAAGTGAAAAAAGCCGGTGCGAATTTAACTAGACCGTCATCGAAGCATTGTACTAGTTTTGTTCAAAAATAAGTAAAAAGAGGGCCGTAAATTCGAACGCTGTTGACAAAAGTGATTAGACTTGAATTTAATATACTCTGGAAGTGGATTTAAAGAACGGAAAGCTTGTTAAGGAAGTCAATACATCAGTAAGACGTATGAATTTTCACATAAATCCGCTATGGAAAACGGTTGTTTCATTAAAAGTAACTTTGGACAATACATCCACGGTGATAGGTGGGGGCGATTTTTTCGGCTAAAAGTAAGCGATCACGAGAGAAAGGCAAACGCTTGCCGATTTGGCTGCGACACGTTCGGAAATAACGTTTCCCCTCGACTGCTAGTAAATACGGTAGCCATCCACTGTATGCATCGGCTTCGCCACATACTGAAACTAATTTGCTAGCATACGTGTCGGTCATATACGTCTTATTCCTCAGCGGTAGTGTCTGGTCCAGTAGACACTGTTGGCTCGTTAGCATATTGCGGACGCTGACGTATAGACCTCAAAGTCTTGCGAGAAAGTTTATGTTTGCAACTTACTTGATCTTTGCTTCAGCCTCACGTTCCGCTTCGTCACGTAGCCCATTGATTTCCTCTTCCAAACGTTGCACCGCAGACTCGAGCTGACGATCCCGTTCACGCTTGAGCTGATCACGAAGTGCATTTTCCCTAACCAAATACTGTGCCTCCAACACAGATTTTAGATGTTCCTCCCACGCCTGTCTCTCAACCAGATTGCGCTCTTGCATTTCAGCCTTCTCCTTCTAGGAGTGAAAACGTAGGTAAGTTTTAACATCCATCGGAAAGGCAAAGTGCTACTTGATCTCCACAACTCTGGCGTTTCATACTGTGTTTGAGTAGATGTTCACATGCTTCGTTTTAGCAAAAGACGCTGCTTCCATGAAGGAGAAAAGGAGGTTAAAGTTTTAGCCCGTCACATTAGCATATAAGCATCTTAATTCGTAATTTAACATGTTACCATTGCCATAACCTCATGCAAATTCCTGTGTACAATGTCTACAAAGTCTCGTAACGATACAATTTGCTTGCATGGTGTGCTCTAGATCTGTTACGTGCTGCAACAATGAAGCTCTGGCGTGTACCAAAGTGTGACGTTGCTTCGCACCTGCCGAGTTGAGGTTATTGAATGCCAATGTTTACAGCTGTTATAACCGCAAACACAAATGAATAAGATGCTCGCGAAACAAACGTGGGTTAGCCCACATGCTTTCCACAAAGAATAGAATTTGTTCCGTTCCTACTAAACTGGTTGGCGTTTCTTGTTCGCACCACATATGAAGGCAGAAAAGACAGCTACTCTCATTAATTAGGCCTATTAGAAAGTTACCCTGTCTAATTGCAGCAGAGGGTTAAGTGAAATAGAGCATCCTTTTTGAGATACATCACTGGGGACCTGAAAAAGCGTGGTATTGGGTCGACTGAGTTAACTAATCCGCAAGATACCTCATGACGTTCCGTGAGTTCATCAATCTGCTTTCTCAGTTCAGAAGCGCATTTTGCCTCCGCGTTTGTAAGCGATTCCTCTAACTGTTGTCTTTTGCGATCCAGTTCTTCGCGATCGCGTCGTGCAGTTAGAGCTAACCGCTCTCGCTCATCGGATATTTCAAGCAGTAGGCGTCGACGCTGAATCTCTAAGGCAGCACGCTCGTCTTTCAGCGTTTTTTCTAACCTGGATGTGTGGATGGAAAAGAGAAAAGGAGACATGCCTAGCACAGTTGCGAATAGGACTTTATGGGTGGCTAAGGCTTGTCCAAAAATGAAGGGGAACGAAGGCTTCTGATACACTAGTTAACTGCCAAAAGTGTAATGGCAGGTATGTGTTGTGCTGCTAAATATTTGTCTGTTGGATGCACAAAGGTTAACCTAGTTGTGGTGTAGAAGGCGAACCAGATCTTGGCAGTGATAAGCAAACTCTTTGGAATCTGAGGCCACTGTTGGAAGTCGATGCGACTGTAATACCAACCATTTCAAGTCTCGTGTGTGCCCCAATGCGTAGGATGCAAAAGTTGGAGAACTACTCGGCACATTAAGAATCCACAAGCAATAAAAGGTAAGTAATAATTTGTTTTGATAAGGACAGTTATGAAATAAAAATATTTCACTCACAATGCCCTCTAGTACCGAGACCAAATAGAAGTATGCGATAATAGGGAAAAAGTGGTTCTTATGATAATAATGGAACAGAAGTTTATAGAACATATGATCGCATACCGTGTCCTGTGGAAAGAGATTGAGATCAAGGAATTCCAATATTCACGTGACCAAAAAATAAAGCGAGCATAAGTAGATCGATAGGGCAACGGTACATTGTGAGCAAAGGAGTGATTCTTTGATGTGCTTCATAGGTGAAGGGGGTAGGGACCGAACCTTTAGTTCCAGCATGAAGTACAGCTTCAATACAGCCATCATACCGTTGTGAGCAAGCTTCTCTCCTTGGCACACTCGCGTGACTCAGAGTTCCAAAGTGGGTAGATCACAAAGACATTTTAACGAGTGTCGGAAATTTTTCAAGAAAGTATAATGGGTCAACTGCAATATTAAGCTGTTTTTTGAAAGCAGCCAATATAAGGAGAGAACCAAGTGAGTTGAATTAGCATCCCAGAGTTCACAGGCTCAGAAGGATAAGTACTTATATGTGGTTCAGCCAGGCAACTGCAATAAGCCCCAAACTTCAGAATATCGCCTCAATGAAACAGTGGTTCATTTGACGGGTAAAGAGCACAGACTTAACTTGTCTTGCAGGCTGTTATTAAAAGAAAAGAAAATGCAAATACAAAATAAGTGGGGCAAATAAAATACGCATCGATGAAGCGATAGCATAATGGCTCATGGAGGAAGGGTTGGGTGAGTGAGAAAGTACCAGGCAAGACGAAAGTATAAGATGTTATGGTTAATATTAATCATAAATAGCAAACAGATTGCTGTGGGTACTTAGTATCAGGTAGTGGCATACATGGTTGGGAGCACTCAACATCTGGTAGTCTTTACAAGTGTGGTAGTTTGTATAGAGCTTTGAAATTCTGTCGCTCGGCCTTGTAGGGTTTCTAGCGCGGAACAGTTACACCAATATCGAAGTTACCAAGCATACATGCCGTATGCGATTTCAGATGGAGAGCTAGATATAACAAGAATCCTGAATGTTTTATGCAAAACAGGTATCGCAGTAGAAATACTAGACAGGTATCCCAGACTTAAACAGTGGATAAGGATTATCCGTTTTGAAACCGGCTCACATCACCTAGGAAAGCCTGTGTTGCGATACTAACAGAGGCCTACAAAATACGTTCTTTATGAGTATCAAAGTATCCCTGTCATTGACTCCCTTCAAGGAGACTGCAGTTACACGTGGGGAGTCACTTGATGATAATGCTAGCTCAAAATCGGTGAATCTAGGATCTGTAACCTCTAACTAAGCTCACGAATATCACATATGACCGAAATAATGCATTACAATTTGGATATTGGTCTAGCTAGGACAACTCGAGAATGTAAAGGTTTGCATTCAGAAAACAACTTCTGTGAAGCTTCCGCAAGTCTTGTCTTAGATTTTGGAAGGTTATGATTTGAAATGACCATGCTTAGCGATTGTGCATAAATTGCGAAATACCATTTTCCCCTGACCATTCACATGCTGTCCGAGAATATCAATCACAATCTGTACCTCCACCATCACATTACCAAATAAAGCCGAATTTCTTTAGAAAGCATTTTACAGCAGTCACTGACTTGTCCTCTTCATGAAGTAGGCAAGATAGTGTTGGATGAAGCGAAACGTTGTCGAACTGTGCAAAAAAGATCGTTCCACTCAGCAACGCTGACAAAAAAACAGAGTATATGTAATGTGCATAAGGCCACGTCAACTGGTGTCCAACAAGCCTACAGTCTTACTGTGGGAAATGTCCACTATGTGAATAACTCCCACAGTCTGCGACGCCATCATGCATAGCAAGCCAAGTTTATTTTACCGCACTTTATATCCACTTCAGCAATCATATAAAAAAGAATTTCAACTAACCCTTAATGCTTCTGGATCACTTAATCTTTTGCAGTTGAGTGGGTTCTTGCAGAAATCCACATGACTGGGAATAGGCCGCGAGAATATTTAGCACGCTAATGTCGAGCAGTGTGAATGTTAGGCACAGTTACATCCTCATCAGATTCGGTCATCGCATGCACTCGATGCCGGTTGTCCCCAACATCACAAAGACCGCATTGCGGCTGGAATAAGTTATACTAGCGTATTCCATTGGTTCAGGCGACAAAAGAGCTCTGGAGAGCGTTGCTAGTGTTGGCGTCCAGTTTTACTCCAAACTGGTTGGTCTCTTGCAGACGTATCATGTGAAAAAGGATAAATACCTTCATACTTTTTGGCTGAAGCACACTATGATTGGGAAGATTGTAGCAGACTAGAGATATATTAGTTAGCCGCGGATAGAAATCGATAGGGCGAGGTGGTTTGCTTAACGGCAACACAAAGAGCTGTAAACTAGTTAAATCGTAGGCCATCAGTTGCACCTTTGGCTGCAAGTCACAAGCATTAAGTAACAGTGTGTGTTGTGACTTCGCAGACTAATTCTAGCATCACCCAGCAGGCATCCACTATCATCACTCGAAGTGAAAGTGCCCGGTAACGGTACATCCAAACATCGCCGAGCATTCCGCGGGCAATAAAGGAATGCAGTGGACCGAGTGCCGCGCGGCCTGTTATTAGTGGATAGGTATATCAAGGTGATGTTGAGTACTAGAGTAATGTCGAAACATTTTCTTTGCGTTAAACTAACGTCACACTGGTTCCGCTTTTAAGGGCATTCAGTTCCGCCTTCGTACGCTTCCTTTATCCGCAATTGTTAGCTTGCTTTCCTAGTGATATTAAGATGGAAGTTAGAGAATATTCTCCTACTTCCTGACTTACTAAGGCGCATTGATTTACTGAATTGGTCATCCTAATTATTAAAATAATTGTGTGAGTTGACCTATGCGGAGATAGGTTGGGATTTGGCAATTAACGCCTTGACCTAGTTTTCGCAGTTATAGTAATTGCTTAGGCGAACTGGAGCGTACTTTAGGAAATTTGTTTACAGGTGATTATGTGGAATGAACTTGTTAGCTAGAGGACTTGAATACTATTCTGTTGCTTTATGACTCAATGTCACCCCAGTCATTTCGACTCTAGCACTCGGGTGGGTGTACCTCATCGAATATTTCAACCATCGTGTTGAAGAGAACAGCCCTAATGGAGTCCATTTGTTCTATGAACCTTTTATGTGTACTTGTCCAACAAGTTTGGTTTAACGAGCAGACTAAAAATAAGGTAGTTGGGTGTAGCCAGTGTGATTCACTCTAAATCCACCGTGCATGAATGAGAAAATGCCACGGGTCATTGAGTGGGCTATGCCTCAGCCTCTTCGGAAAAACGTCTGATTTTCTGCGGATTGTGTTAATTCTGGGCAGCATTATCCAATTTACATTTTTGTGGGTAGGTAATGGATACCGCGTGTTGAGATGGTGATGGATGTTCAGAGAACACACAACGTGATGGTGTTCGAAGATTTGCACAGATCCCATCCCAAATAAGGAAACTGCTAGTGGACGGGCAGCGAAATTCGTACAGCAGCTAGGTGGGAATTAGCACAATTCATGAATTCGTTAATCAGCCAACTTGTAAATATAGTATCAAAGAGAAATAACAGCAGCAGCGGAATCCAAACTAGGAAAGATGTGATGATATTCATAGATTCAATTGCTGAGGTTAACCAAGTACAGGAACTCTTTTCCCAGAAATCATGCGTCTGTCATTCAGACACAGGTAAGTCGAATTTTCCCGATAACTCAAATCAAGTCGCGTGCTCATCGGTAGCTGACACCAATGATTAAGCATTACTGAATACTGCTCAAGCGTCCAGTTTAAGATCCCAGAACTGAAGAACAGATTGCACAATTCTAACTACGAGGATAACAAAGGTAGAGAAACCAGCAAGAGCACAATGGTATTTTCAAGCACAGAGGTAGGGTTCTCCAACAATTCTATGTTAACAGTGACAGAAGCGAATCGATTTGTGATTTCCCGAGTAACATCAGTTGGCACAGCAAGCTGACTTTATAAAACAGTACTCTCGGAATGGGTATTTGGGGCATCTTGTATGACATAATAATAATTTATCACCTCAAGTCAGGCTGTTAAACATTTTGAATTCAGACCAACTGCACTACAACTGTGACTGTGGAGGCTAGACCAGAGGTGTTGTCCAATACAGCATCACAGTAACTGTTTCCACTAGGGTGTTGAAGCAACCCGCATTTGTCCATCTCTTTTAACTCACCTGCACCTTATTGATTCGTGCAGTGTTTGTATGAGAAAAGAGTACCACGGTTGTCTGACTCATACACCCGCATTCACTTCAACAGATTGACACACTGATTGTGCTGAGTTTTGTTAACCACAGCACGCAGACACAGCACGAAGCTAACACAGTTTCGGAAAAGAATGCAGTTCTAGTCGCCAGACTTGGTTCATGTGAGGCCCGTATCCGACGGCATGACAAGATGAAGTTGGCACTGGGCATTAGTCTTTGACGAATCCATTGGTTCAGCTGCCGACTAATTACGTTAAATGTTGATTTACTTATTACCTAACACATCAATACTTGCGCCCCGTTCTACTCAGTTATATGAGTGCATAGTGGTATATACGGGTTAATGCGTTTGAAGCCAGATTACATAGTCGGGGATGGAGAATAGCTACTACTATGATATGAGTAATCAAAATGACTCGCGTCGATCTACTGAAGTGGGACGGGTGATAAAAGCTTAAACTGTGATTAGGAAGTGGTAAGTGGGCTCGAAACATGGGGTATGAATACAAAAAGTGCAGAAAGTACCGCCTCAGTCGATGTGTCTAACAGTAGGAACCCCAGTATTCGTTCCGAACAGACCTTAGCGTACCGATGTCAACAAAGAAAGGCATCCAGATCACACAAAAACTGATTACTGAGACATTCCTTTTCAACTAGACTTAGACCACACATAGAACAACTTTGTGCTAGTGGACAGAAACAGTGGGATTAGAGAACAAATCCTGGTAACATGGTAGCTGTCTACTTTTCACGTTCAGAGGACAGCAGTCTGACCAGTTATACGGAAAGCCAAGCCAAGCTTAATATGATTGATAAAAATGGAGTGACAGACTTCAATAAACTCGAGAGAGATCCTTACCTTTTGTTCGCCTCCTCACGCTCTCTGGCACAGGCGTCTTCCTTTTCCCTTGACAGAGTCTGACGCAGTTCTTCTACTTGACCGGTATACGCTTCATAGGCTCTAGAGTCTGCTGCTTGAATTTGCTCATTGCAAGCGTCGCGCAGCTGTCGCAGCTCTTTCTTGTGACTGGCAATTAGGCTGGCTATTTCAGTTTCCATGGCACGCATTGTTGAATCCTTTAGGGTTAAGAGGGAACTGATGTGTGAATAAATTGTGTCCATGCTTATCTATCGTACTTATTCGGCTTGTACCAAGTGACCTTTTGATTATACCGGAAGTGACAGTGGCCACATTTCGCATTGCACATAGTCACGGCAAAACAGCAAACTGATTGTATTCCTCAGGGTCAGTGTGTTGATCTTTTATAGCTGGAAAGTACTCTTTGATGTAAATAAAACCTGTCGTTAGACGAGCATCATGTATAGCTAGAGTAGTATGCGTTTAGCAGCTACGCTTTACTCCAAGCAGTTTTAAGAATTTCTGTTTGACACTCAGCCCTGAGTGGCAGACAAGTCCTCGCATTATTCTGTGATGTCCACGCGCTTGCAGAATAAAGTGATTTCTGTTAATTTCAACGGCAACAAAGTGCCGTGTTATTCTTAACAGATGGACTATGTAAGAGACATCTGAAGCAGAGCATTCTTATAGACATTAAACAACACAGATAACTCTCACGAACAGATAGGTCTAATGATCGTGCTTCCCTTGACCAGTAAATTGAAAGTGTGAAACCAACGGTATCTCGGTTCTCCTCCAAAATGATGGCGCTTAACAGTGTGTGCCGCGGCGTGCGCCTGCTGCTCCGAAGAAAAAGTTTGTTTAAATTACTCCTTAAAAACAAACCAGTTCTCCTTTCGGATAATATTCTTAGGAACTAAGCTTGATAGTGTAACAAAAATGAACATTCTGGTGCTGTCAACAATCCGACGAACAAATGTTCACCTTTTCTCGAACAGACTTTTACGTTTTCGTTGGTGTGTGATACTGTTGCGAGTGACTTGTCACACTTATTTGCGGTTGTGTTATAGAAACATTTCTAGCTAACTGTTGTGCGACTGCCTTAAGAATACATACATAACTGTGCGCACTGAAAATGGACTTCCACCCACCAATCACATTGTTCTGACCAGGAAGCAATGTGAATAACCTGTTGACCGATGTGGGTTAAACAAGACAGAGCATGTCACAAATTTTACTGGAAATTTCAATGCTTCAGAAGGACATGTAGCTGAATGAAGTAGCAAGCTCAAACGATGATACCTATAGGCTTGAGGTTTAGATAAAATGTCATTTCGCCTACTACCTAACTAATTCTGACTATCATCAATCAGTTTGCATAATATGTAGGGGTGAGAAGCACCCTTCATAATATGACTCAGAAAGACAGCAGCAAAAGCAGACTGAAAAAAGGCAAAGTGATCAAAATAAAAATACTGTTGTACTTTGTTCTGTTTTATGTACTGACGAAGAGATTGTGGTTGGAGGTGGAAGCCAAGCGGGATGGTACGGAAAAACGAAACACAGGAAACACAGGTGCAATTGAAGTTGTTTCTTCACCATTTCAACAGGTGCATCCAAACAAAGTTTTCATCGCCTTTCGAACCCAAACCAGAAAGTTCAGAGGCTACAACCGAGGTGTACTTCGAAGCATTGGCCTTCATTCCTTTTGAGCAAACCATCAATTGTCCTTTCCCTCTTCTTTGCATCCAGACGCCGATCGCGCAAATCACGCAAGTCGCGGATATCGAGACATCGGAGCCTACTTTGTGAAACAACTTTTATACGTTTCACTTCCTTTTTCTGTGCCGTAGAGAAGAGGCCGAACACGCTCATTGCTCACGCGGTCTTCCCAGCAGATAAAGGCTCAGTTGCGAAGGCACCGGTGGTCGAAAGTAACAAACCTCTTAAGGTTCATCGATTTGACGGGCCACGTTTCAAAATTGTACAGTAGGGTTGAACAGATGGGTGCATTGTAGACTCTACCTTTCGTGACCCCAGTGATGTCGCACCGGCGTGAGAAGAGGCGAAAATGGACAACAATACCTTAAGTAATTGTTATACGCTTCGTGACCTCGTCTTCTATTCCATAGGCGTTGATACGACTGCCTAAACACTTAAACTTCGGTACGACTCCTAACTGCTCCCCACAAATGGTCAGCGATGAACGAGCTAGCTAATCGGACAGCGCACATCCGGCTACTGACTGGGATCCCACCAAATAGAACAGTTCCAGTCCAGAGGCTCACAGCAATGCTCCCACCGGCATTCGAAGTTGCATCATCTCCAGACAAGCGCAATAAGAAGGTGCCGCCAGTGTCGCATGATGGGGATGTAGAGTGAGTATGAAGCTGGGGTCGTGCAGGCGCGTTTACGGTAAACACCAGATATCGATTGTCAGGATCTCTAGTGTTTGGGCAAATGCTGAATTTTGACAGCTCTTTAAAATGTACGTGCACTGAGACATACTGCCATTAGCTACTTTTGAGGGCCCTACATAGAAGGCTTTGAACTGAGGTTGCTTTCATGGTTGGACACGGGGCTGTCGACAAGGAAGAAAAGACGCTCCGTGATTACGTGTGAGTCAAACTATGAGATACACGTCCACCGAATCAAGATGAGTGAGGGCCAGGAATTTGGGTTGAAAACTTGGGGGATATACGTGAGGTTGAGAGGAGACTATAAGGAGGAAGAAGCGTGAGAGTTTGAACACAAAAACGAGGTGGCCTGCGTAACGACATATTCACCCCCATACACCTCGCCCAGTGCAATAGACAGGCTACCATTGCTTACGATCTAGGACTATTAAAGCATCAGAAAATGTTTGAAGAGTAGTTCATCTTAATGCTTTGACGGGATATTGTCAAGTTTCTTAAGGATAGACAGAACGACGATTAGGGCTTCAAACCAAAGATTTTGGTTCAATACGTGACCACAAGGAAGCAGGAATTTGACAATGGGCTGCAAGCAAACTTTTTATAAAGGGAGGATCTACCGTCACTCCAATCCCTAAGTTGGAGAGCCAGGAGACTGAGTTCGTTTGGCCTATAATCAATGACCAATCTGTTATGAGTGATTCTGAAGTTGTAAGAGGCAACACCCATCAAAATTTATTGGATTATTGAGGCACACAAACCGCGGCACAAGAATGTGGTCTAGCAACAAGATCAATCTGTCTATTCAAACCTAGGGGCAGACAAAAAAAGCGGAATACTTCAATAAAAGTTTAATTTGATTACCCATCATCTTACTTTTATTTGCTTCACCTTCTCGGTTTCCCATTTTTCTCTGCGAAGCTTTTCTGTGGCATGTACTTTTGCTTCCACTTTGCGAAGTTCCACTTTATGCCTGCAAATTATGGAACGACTCACAGTTTGTAGATGAAGCAATCTGAAACACAAGTAATCATGTCTGCGTACCCTGCTTAGCGAGATGACAGACAACGGTTGAGTTGCGGCGCACAGCAACTCTTAGCCATGATTCAAAGCAGCACCAGTATTATTGCCTATATTTAAAGCAGTCTAGTGGGTCTGAAGACATGGTTCTAACAACCAACCGACATTCAGCAGGTAAGAGCTTTAATTCAAATCGTTTTCAGACATGCAGCTACATCTATGGAAATAACTGTAAGACAGAGTGGTTTTTATTTCTGATAAGGCTTTCATCCCAATAGTTCACAAATTACATAGTAGAACGTAGTCCAAGAAAGCGCCAGACGCGTTTCGCCCTATTGGGGCTCGTCAGTGGCGCGCATTCCCTCGGTCCTCTAAGGAGGATCGAACCCATGACCGCTAGTGGCAGATGTCAACTAGCCAGCAGCTTAAGCCACTGAGCCATGGGGGACGTTGACTGGGCTACATACTTTGCAAACTAACTAGGATATAGCACCACCTATCTAACACTGTCATTGACTGGTTAGCCTGCGAGGTGATGACGTCCTCTCACTAGACGCTATATCCATAGCATTTGAAACTAGGAGAGGCTATTTTTATTTTATATTACTCACGAGTAGCAGGATTTTAGTTGTATTTCTGATAAGGCTTTCATCCCAATAGTTCACAAGTTACATAGCAGAGCCTAGTCCAGGAAAGCGCCAGACGCGTTTCGCCCTATTGGGGCTCGTCAGTGGCGCGCATTCCGTCGGTCCTCTAAGGAGTGGTTTTTAATCACTTTCCCGAAGCCTGCGTAAATCCACGGTTACCCGGTATAAACAGCACTGAGAAATTGGACGCAATCCAAACGGTGGACTAAAGTAGCTAGAGATTTCAGTAACAGTGTGCCCGCAATGATTAGATCAAGGATCATATTTTCAATGTCAGACAAAGTGCAGATACGTGAGATGCTACCAGAAGGCCGGAATTCTCAGTAACTTAGCATACCTAAAAAGTACTGTTGCACGAACGAGAGAGAAATGGAATATTTGATCCCAAAATTTTTCCTGAAAGTACACTTGTTAAGGATATGGCTCGAGGCCTTGCCATATCTGCCATTATCGTGCTACTGTTTTTAAAAATATATCAAACCAACGTACCAGGATTTTCTTTCGTGACCTTAGTGCAATAAATCAAACTGATATACATATCGCCGATATTTTCAAGTTGTGCATCCAAGATAGCGTTGTGTACCGTTTCTTCAGTTTAGATGACATAAAGCCGATCTTTACCAAGTTGACGTACAGGTTTGTAGGGCACCGAAACGTAACAATTCTTGTGACATTCTGGAGCATGGGATTGTTTTTGTCTTCGTACTCTGCAACTATCCAGTTGTCTTATTGATTACGCGCTACACTGTTCCCTGGTATCCTTCATCTACGTCCCATTCCTTTAAGTTCTCGATATCAATGTATTTTTGGTGCAACCGACCCTCCTGTTCGATGTCCTCCTTGTTTGGCACGTACGTTACGTATCTTTGTTGGGACTAGGCTCTGGACTGCCGTTGTAGGCTAAGTTGCATCACAATTCTGTGTTACGCAGTGAACTACACAAGTACCGTTCCCAGATATTTGTGACAAATGCATAGCAGACGTCTTTGCTGACAAACATAATCGAAGCGAGACGTTTGTTTAAGCAGTACCATCGCTGGGGCTTGTTTGGACTGTCATTTACTTGTCAAGGATACTGTAAATTCAGGTTGATTGACTCGACTTGGATTGAACGAAAGCAATGTGAACTGAACAGCGGATAACACTAAGGGGTTCAATAGATGCAAGTAGTCGCGATGGAGCAGAACCGAATTGACGATGAAAGTTCAGTCTGACCTGCTTCGTTCCATTAATTAATGGAAATTTTCGCTTAGCATGAATTCATATAACAGTATGATCCTGTACATCTAAAAGAGATCATCAGGTTACATCCTTACCTATCTTCAACCACCTTAAGCTTCTCTTCCGCTTTTTGAACAGCTACCTTTAATTCACTCATTAGACCTTCGTATTTCGAATGAAGAACCTTTTTCTCCTCTATCAATTCATCAATTAGCTTATAATTTCTACCAATCGTGGCTTCGTAGTCAGTCTTCGCTGCTTCCATCCTTTGGTCCACTTCTCGTTGTGTGTTGCGAAGCTGCCGCACGGACAGCTCTCGTTGTTGTTCCAGTGCTCGTTGAAGACGTTGTACCGAACGGGTCTTTTCTTCTAGCTGTGCTGTCAGTGATCGAACAGTCATTTCGGCATCAAAATAGTATTGCTGTAGTAGAAAGGGAGCATAATATCAGCCATCCAGGCGACGGTCCAATCGATATTACGCGTAAAGAAATCTTGATATAAAAGGCTAGACGTCAAATATACGATGCGCCGTATGAGTGTTGTAGATTGGTGGATGACCGTTCCTTTTTAAATGGCTAGGCATAAGAACAGAAAATTAGGATAATTGGTAAAACGATACCACCCATACAATAAGGTGATGTATGGGTTACCTAATTGAACAGTGTAGTAAAATACCGCTGCCTTATTGCTTATTGAAGTAGTGAAAAACGATACGCGGCATTGGCACATGTTATGTATTGTAGCCTAATGAACAGCGAAAGCAATCCGAAGCGAAAAAACAACATGCTGAAAACTTTTTTCAAAAATAATTTACGCCCCGATTCTACCTCACAGCAGAAAGTGGCAAAAGGTGGGTTGAAAGAACCTCGATGACTTAGCAAGCATTCCAGTTTCGTCTTTCCCCAATTTTCAATGATACACAGTCCTTAGGTAAGCTAAAGGATACTCTTTTACCGTCATACGGCAGAATAGTACGGAATATTGTTTCAAGGATTATGCTTTATTTAATCATTAACCGCGCAGGAATAAACTGCTACGTGAACACGGGGCGGGTGTGAATTAGTCTGTTTATGCGCAAAAAGTTTCCAAAATGGTTTGTTGCCGAATATCCACCAAGAAACAGTAGTATAGAGGGCACATTGGTCCCACTGCATTGACTCCATGCGTCATGCGAAGTTGTAGTGGAAACTATCAATGTGTTCCTCTCCCGGAAGGGAATGGGACACCTATTCGGAAGAAACAGTAACCCTTTTATCACTACGATTACAAACTAGTTTAAACCATCAGTTGAATAGATTTTCATATGTTCGGATGAAAGTAACCAGAGAGGCTTTTAAGCTGAAGACTTGGATCATCTGCCGAAGAGTCCAGCTGATCAAGCATATTAGTGGGAACCGATCCTGAAAAAGATTTGTCTTCCAATTCATGCAGGATTTGGTTTTGACTCATAGGAGAAGTCATTCGCTGATTGAATTATACCGAAGAAAGTAAGTTATGCTTAGTATGATTGTAAAATCGAAGAGGAGAGTAATGGCAAGGTACCTCGGAATCACTTCCCCCGTAACTTTAAATTTAACGGGGAGTTTTCCTTAGCCAAACGCTGCCCAAAGTAGCTGCCGTAACTCGTTCAGCATTAAACTGGAATTCTAGAACGCGTAACTGGTTGATCAGGAAGCTAACTGATGGGATCGGAGCAAACCAGTACACCGTAGGCATTAAACCGAAAAATAGAATCGCGTTTCATCAGGATCGACGCTGTTTAGTAGGTTACTTGAATTACAAGTCACCTTCTGAGCTTATGCTATCCCAGTCAAAATCAATACTGAATGTTGCTCCTAAAAATAAGGCTAGTGGTCATTAATTGTCAGTATGAATTCGTTTCTCCCATGGGACCAATAACACCAAATTTCACACCTAAGTGAGCGCTCTTTCTTTCTACAAGGCTGCCGAAAATATTTGGCGCAGCTATAGCAAACAGCCTAACCAGTTCCTACCAATGGTTTGTTGTGTAGCCTCAACCGTTGAGGCACGATTGCGCAACTGTAAAAATATCAGAAGTGTTCGGTTGGGATGGACGACACTCGGCCTCTTAAGATCGAAACCGATAATCCAGTAAGTTAGTTGGGGACTCAATTCCTGTCCACTTTAAGTAATTCGTATTAACTCGAATTTACCTGGGAAACAAAATACCATTAGATTACTCTGGGGTTTAGTGGTATTCCGGATGTGTGAAAGGCTGTCTGACTTGGAAGCTGCTGCGATAGACTCTCAAGAAAACTAGTTTTCGCTCTGAGGAGAATGAGCAGATCAATTGAACTTGTTCACAACTTGTGTCTCACAATCTCGGTAAAATGATCAACCCAAATACCAGTCTCAATTAGTGTTCTCTGTCACTTTAGATGAGAAGAAATTGTTGTCGGTTTCACCTAGAGCACAATGGACTACGTTTGTTCCGTAGGGTTGCCGGAATTGTACCTATCCGATGCAAATGGACCAACACTGTTGTTCAAAAGTGTCATTGTTGAGGAGGTTAACATTATTTTAGGCAGATATCTGTTTGTTGGACATGGAATAGCGTGCGGTTAAATTTCATGCTAAGGAGAGGACAATCGGCGTGCATATGGAGCACTAATTCATCCTCAGTGACGAGATGACGCAAGGACGCGCATTGGAGGAAACTCTGTGTTAATATTCGCATAAGCTCTGGGTTGGTAGCTAGAAATCCTTACACACAGTCGAGGAAGGTGCGCAAGATTTCATTATTTGCACTGACTGAGTGTATCAGGGAATTAGCCTACATATGCCCGCGCAATAAGATACATTCGGGTTTATTTGCTGCATGATTTGAGTCCCGTAGAAATTCGGGGCTACAAAAAGCTGTTTCTGTTTGTTAAACACGACCGAGTGACCGGGGAGAGTGAAGCATGCCCGTTCCTTCCTGGAAGTGCATTAGAACGTTCCTCATTTTTGTGACAGCAGCCGAAAAGTGCTACTGAGTGTTCCGCAATACGGCCGACCAGGTCTAGAACGCGCATCAGGAATGCGAGAAAGTGTAAGGAAATGCTACAGTTTGAAAGTGATCCAGACTGGCCGGTAGTACAGGCAACTAGTGTAGTGCCGAAGGCGAAATGAGGGGTTGTGAAACCACGAAGAGCATGTGAACAATGCATAGCATATGTAACTGAGCCATGGACAGATGAGAATTTACCAATATCCGGTTAAAGTCCTTTCCATTCATGATTCCTTGCGCGTAACTATCTTCGGCCGGTGGCTGAAAGGATTGCAAGCCTGACTTGCGATCATAAGTTCACCGGTTCGAATCCGGGTAGCGGCGAACGTTTTCGCAGTATAGTCAGATTACGCGCGAACGGTGGTGGTCGCGCGGTAGCGAAGCGTCGACATAATGTGCCGGCGTACCGCTGATGACTTTCTTTTGATTTGCGTGCAAATCTCAGTTGTATTTACAATGCACAACGACGTTGGATTTTGTTATGTATACTACTGTTATATGTAATTTCTTCGCTCTGGAAAATACCACCTAAGACCAATCGTCATTGTATCATTGCTGATATGCCTGTACCTTGATAGACTTCCAGATTACAATGTTGCGTTAATGCCAGACTAGATGAGTTTCTTGTCTACAACTTGTTGTAAAGAAGCGTACATAGAGGGCAAAAAATTGTGAGACCACCGTGATATGGATATCGTGGGTCACTTTTTTGGGTAATAGAGCTATTCTTTGACATGTAGCGGGTTTCGGTAACCAGTGCATCGAGATGCAAGAGTGTATATGGACGTACTTTGTTGATAGAATGAGCGAACAAAGGTTTCCGTTAGTTGGGCATATTCAAAAAAGCGAATATAACAACATACTGAAATGTCTTTACCCCTTGAATTAGTTCTTCCGAAGAACTTGGACGAAAACTTGCGGCTTGTCGTACAGCCTGGACGGAGCCCACTGTCCTGACTGCGAATGGAGAAACAGAATTTGTTACCTGACGAGCTTGTGTCTCTTTAGCACCGTCTTTTGAGTGCTTTCGGAAAAGGAAGTGACTGGAATCCGCCTTGTCCTGTTTAGCTGCTGAGGTGGGTCGATGACTGCCGGTGGGATACACAACGGAACCGCGCAAACCATCCGATTGTGCCAGCTTTCGCATCTCATCCCTTGATTGTTGAACGAATGTTTCAGCTGATCTTCTAGCATCTCCACGCTTCTTTGATTCGTTCAGATTTCTAACAAATTAAAGGCACACCAAACTGTAGATTTCGTAATTAACTTGTCTACTTTACTAACAGGGAGTAGTACTGAGACAACAACCCATAAAATGAAGGCGTAATGATTGTTCAACTTTTCACAGCTCCGTAGGTGAGATTGGCTGGGAACCGTTTACTAGTTAGACGACATTGAATGCTGGCCACATGTTAAAGGTCATGGACATATGGCGAGCAAGTCTTATGGTTATTTATATACCTCGGTTTTAGTTGAGCTGAAACGAAGGCACATCGCCAGTACTTGCCAGGTCGGTGGTAAGGAAAGTTTTATTGTCGTGCAACAGCTGTGAACCTTATCGATCCATATGGCCCAGTCGTATGATACCTTTTGGTAGTTTGAAAGCTATCCTGTAGTGTCGATCGTTGGATGCAATTAAGAAAACTCAAACCGCTGGACATCTAAGCAAGAGGATGGTGGCGCTCGTTTACTTGGAGACGGTTCGACTTGTGAACACTTTTCAGGTTCCAGATACTACGCATATTTCCTCTGTATTCAGATTAACAGTTTAATGACCGCTGTCGTTCTTTTGCCTAGATGTAGGACGATATTAATGAAAAAGATATCAACTAAATGGTATATAGCGATAGCTTAAAAGATAGGCCCATGGCACCATGGAGTTCCAGACAACAGGTCACCGTGTGAATATTTCTCTTTTGAGCACTATAAGCTTAGACAAACTGTACAAGATATGCGGGCGGTAGTAGGTTGTCATGATAAACCAGCATAAACAATTGCTTTACACAGTGGTTTTAAGCTGAGCATGGTACTGGCGGTGTAAAAAACATGGGATTAAACAACTCAGCGTATAGCAAATCAGTGGCTATGGAACAGTCTTGTACGAAAGTATTAATTACACATCCACATTTTATTCTTTAATCCTGAGACTGTAACGCATGAAACATTTTAATAGACCTTGATCTATGTGGTTGTTCCCTTATTTTCCCTTATTTTCCATTGTTTTTAACATTTTTCTCAGAAATGTGAGTAACCGTAATGGCGCTAGTCGACCTTCAGCAATTAACTCGTGCCCTGGAAATGAGTGGCTTATCTCTTACTCTGAGTGAGAAACTGTTACAAGTTTTACCAACGAGGTAGCTCAAAATGGACGCACTTTGAGTGTTGCTTCAAGTTTTGCTCCGTTAGAGGCAGTGTTGCATCTCTGTTCCAGTGCGGCGATGCACCAGAATAGGATTGATGGTTAAAATTCCCAGGTAGGTTGGGCTTGAAAATTTCGGTTGTTGTTTTTGTTGTTGTTGCAGGATGATGGGAATACGAGGTGGGCCAATAGGCTAAATCCAAAGTAGCCGGTTCATCTGATTCCGACAGAACACGATGAATTTCGTCTACTGCATGGCAGAGGAGGACAAACCGAACGCGTGTTACACAGTCACGTCTGGAAAAATATATTCCTGCTACTGTAAGCGATGGTGTCACAATAATAAACGTACCTGTGCGCATATTTGCTTTGCAATAAAGAACAAATATCGAAACCGAAAGTGCGTCTACTTAACATGACTTGGGGATTTCATGGAAATATAAAGGACGGATGTTAATTGTTTGAGGAAGCAAGAGATAGAACATAGAGCTGGCCAGATCGAACTGACTGGAATGAATTCCTGCATCTGCCGCCCTTATAGTAGCAAACATCTAGAAACACAATACTTCAGTCGTACACCGACATCGTTTATTTACCGTGCTGAAAGGCAATTTAATTGTATCACCATACAACAGATCACCCAAACAAACGATTTCGAGATCGGGATAGACTGCGGTTTCGACATTAGCCACACTTCGTGAAGGGGCGCAGCAACCTGACTTGATTAAAAGGCGCCATTGTGAACGGTACATAAAGTGCTGTGTCACATTATAACACAGTAATAAACGAATACGAAGATCCTCCCTGATCCAGAGGCTGAGATCTTCACTGAGAAGAGATGGGCAGCGGGTTTTTGACCCGCCACTGAACCTTAGCAAACGCTGTGTCTCGTCTGTCTTGGAAAAAACAAACAGCTGCGCAACACAGGAGCTAGTTTTGATAATTTCAAATCAGAGTTTCAGCTCTTTCTGTTCACTCATAATACTCGATAGAAGTATGGGCCGAAGCACAAGCTGTAGTCCACGTAACTCGTTCTGCTGTTGTACCGCTGAGTTGATGGGTCTGGGAAGTCATCCACGTACCTTAAGCAACAATTGCACAATAACAAAGATGTCAATATGATGTAACCGGTATGGTATTTTGCCAAATAGCACTCAATCGCAATAACAAACCCTGCAACTCTAGTCGAAATATTCTTTCCATAAGGTAAAGAGAACAGCCGAGATGTGCGAGTGCTGTAACTCATATGTGACAGGACCCATGCGGAGTGGAGAAAATGGACTACCAACTTAATCGCAAAGTGAATGGCTTCTATGCTACGGAATCCGAAACAACACAACTTCACAAGTTAGGGACCTTGTACGATATCCTAGCCGCCGTCCATTTAGGGCAGTAAATTCAAAAAGTTCATCCTTTGCTTAAACACAACTGTGGCGCATGATGCTTTCTTGGTGTGAAACGTACCATCAGATGTTTACTGACTGGTTTGGAGGCACATGTAATACAGTCAGGGTCAAAATGTGAACATCTGGTTTTAGTGTCCCAGCTGTCTTTGAGTCAGCCGGTGGCCGAGCGGGGTCTGAACTCCTGACTTGCAATCATAAGGTCACCGGTTCGAATCCGCCTAGCGGCGGGTGTTCTCGCAGTATACTCAGCCCACGCGCGACTGGTGGTGGTCGCGCGGCAGCGAAGCGTTGTTGCGGCGCACAGCCGACACATTATCATTCTGTCTTTAAGCTGAAATGTAAGAGTCACATCGCTGTAAGCGAATGAAACATGCGAGTAATCGAATTGGTGCACTAGGTAGTAAACAGCCCTACTAATAAGCACAGATGTCATTTCGACTGGACCAGAGTCTTGTCGTTCACACATCGAGTCGTAAACACTACATTTAATAAAACAGTTTTGCTAGGCTGTACTGATAAACCAGCGATTCCTTACAGTTGCCATGCGTAAACCACTTTTCTGTTGGTCGATGTGTGGCAGACTGATTCTACAACAGTTTATCTGTCCTAATAGGTACTCAGCGTCATGTTTATCGTCATTATCGGTGGAATGCAGATACACGCAAAATACGCAACATAATCGCGTAAATAATCAATTTTAGCGAGTTCATATTGTGCAGATGTTTGGATCAGGCACTCACACATTTCGGACCAAACTTCTTTTCTCATGCACAGGTCACTATGAGCAGCATCTGATACACCAGAGTTGAAACGTCCGTTTTCCAAGGATCTTTCACATATGTACCGATTCTCTGCATCCAAATCACCAAGATTTCTCACATCGTTCAAAAGTTCTTGGATATTAGTCCGGCCAGAGCAAGCTGAAGGTTCCACCACCTGCAGGCTGCATTGAAGGTCATTCCTCACAGGTGCCGGCTCTTCTGATTGTTCCTCGTATTTTACTTCGTCAGGACAATATCCTAAAACCTTTGTGAAAAGAATCTCAGTTATTAATGTCAGAATGTCTGACTATATTTAGGCGCGCAGTACAAAGGACATATCTTTCAAAGGCAACAGTTCAGCTACAAAAGCGCAAACTTTAACAAGTCTATCAACGTAGCTTCCACGTCGCGGCCACAGAAATTCGACATGTAGATAAATTTGACATATGCGCACTTAAGTGGGAATTATGCGTGACCGGGTGATATTTGGGTGTTCTGCTGCAGCAAGTCAGAGGGTGGTTTGACCAGAACCAACGACGTTAACATCCTACAACCATTAGACATATGCCTCTTGGTAGATAGCACGAGTGTCAATCCAACTTCAGTGATTCCAACCTAACTGCGATAAACTACGAAATATTCAAGATAAACAAGGTTCAGTTTGCTTGACACCTTGCGCTATTACTACCAATCGCTAAAATGACATTCTAGTACTCTTCAGTATCCGCATGGTTCCCATGGGCGTTTTGGTTAGTGCCTTTTAATGCAAGTATCTTCATTTGTTTTTGTACGTAGTGGGAGATTTATTGGGTTGTGGTGAAGAGTCGTCTCGGTTAGACTTAGCAAAGTGCTAGACGGACGTTTTTTCCTATTGGGACTCGTCAGTAGCGCGAACCCGCCGAATACTGCCAGATTTGAACCCACGACCTTAATCTCGAGAGCCAGTGACTTATCTCACGGAGCCATGGGAGACGGCGGCAGATCGGCATGACTGATATCAAACTGCAATATAGCGCGTCTTATCCTCCACTGTCATGCATGTGATGAAGGTGCCAAGGATAGAGCTGGCCCCTCTGCAGGGCTGTCCTCTGCACGTGCCATGTCTCACACCTATGCGAACGTTCGCCCCAGCGATCCCCTTACTTATCCCATGGTGGTCACTTTCACCACATTTATCGTAGTGTCCCAAAAGATCATCCATTTCACCGAAAATGTTTGTGCACTTTACCCCGAGCTGATTGTGTGGTCTTCACGCCCTCAGTCAGGGCAAAATTTTCGCCACCGTCTGTCGGCAAAAGTAGTTGCTACGCCACGGCTCTGAAGTGTCAATGGAGGTCAGATTGCGTGGGTTGCACGGCCATTCTCTCTCAGTGACTCCACAGAATTTGGTGATGAATTCTCCTACTTAAAGGTCAACGTCCCTCCTAAGTTGTTGTCTGAGGTTGAATCTTTCCGATCGCATGAGTACATAGTATGATTCACACCTAGTAATACTTTCATGCAACGCGCGTCTCCCACTTTAAGAATATTGCATGCTTGTAGTAAGCAAAATAACATACACTTATACCATATAATTGACTGCTCTAAAAATGTATACCGCGTAACATAAATTTCAGACAGTGTGCTTATTCAATGTAGAGGCTAGTTCGGTTGGAGCCTGGAATTAATCCGAATCAGGGAATCTCACACCCAGTCAGTCTTAACTACCAGTTATTTGCAAAGCTTTCTTTCCTTAGTAAGATGCAGTTTTGTTAGTAAAGAAACATGTGACTTTTGCCGGTTAACGGGTTTCTTACCTCCGGATTATTGATTTCCTCTACAAGATGCTCCACTTGTGATACACCTTCTTTCCTGGCACTGATCCCTTCAGATGTTTCCATTGGAGAGTGTGGTTGCTCTACCAATACAGAGTTACAGCTGGACTTTGGAGTGGCGCATTTCATTGTTCCGTCCGGGTCTGTAAAGATGGCACAGGTTCGCTGTTCCTCAGATTGGCGATTCTCACGCTTCTCTTGGAGAGCCTAGAGGGTATTAAAGCAAGGGTTGTTTTTCTGATGAGTAAGAGCGACCGGAAGTGTATCTGCAGTGTTGGCCATAAAACCGCAAGAACTGGAATGGGGCGGACCTGTTTGCATATGTAATATATCGGTACTCTCTCATTACCAGGCTGTTCTCGTGGTCTGATTGTGTCGCCAAATTGATGCAGAGCGTGTTCAGACGGCAAAACTGAAACACAGCACCCCGTCGGCACTGTAAGATGTTACACAGTAGGGGAACTATCGATTACCATAATTGACAATCCTTTATCACTGCTTCAGCCATGTGGTTCATCAACGCTCCAATTTGCTACAGAGAGCAGTACCATCGATTCACTTTTACACAGAGCATGTTGTCCCTGTAAAGAAAGTTTGTCTTAAGTAGTAGCCAGTTGTTCCGTATTTCCTTCTAGAATGATGATAGCCAAAGGGACGTTGCACTACTATTTTCAAGAATGCAGTTCTACACACATCCACGATCGGTATAAATTCCAGCTGGACAAATGGTCTGGCAAAAATGATAACCAAAGCTAGGTCTTGAATAATTTCGCGACATTTGGGACATATTAGTGATTTAGAACTATCAAAGTATGAAAATCTACGCTGAGCTATAACGCTCGCCGGAGTACATTGTCTGCTGACGGTGTTGGTTGGTAATGTTTGGCATACTTACTGACGTAACAGTACTTGATCTTACTTAGTGAATGACCAAAATTCAACTAAAACGTTTCATATGTAATGCAAAAGCATATACATGCGTTATGATTCCGGCTCAATGGGTACGAATTATTGCTTGCAGAAAATTTGTGCCCGACATTTTCTGCCCTATAAATAGAAATCTTAACCTTTTAATTAGTTAGATTAATTCGGATGGAAGTCTTGTAATCTCCAGTGGATTCATCCCGGTTCCAAAAGCATGCCTAAGTAGTTGAATTGCGTTTTCTCGCTTGATTCCTTTACCTGTGCACAATGTTTATGCTGCTCCATCCGCCGATTCTGTTGCGACTTCTCTCGTCTAACGATGGCAGCTTGAAGCGGCATACCTGGAGTGATTTGCCGCTCCTTCAAACGATGCTTTTGCTCTGCCATCATTCGGATCAACGCTGCCTGCGCGGCGAGCTTTTTGCGTTTTTGGCGTCTCCAAAACCGCTGAATTGCCTGCGCTGCCTCGACTTCCTTTATCATCTCTTTAACTCCGGAAAGAAGGGAAATAAATATAAAAATTGAATATAAAAGTATAAAGTATGTTTTTATATGCCATGCTATCAGCCAGCGTATTCTACGCGTAAAAGGAGATAACCAAAGTATACTGACTTTGAGTTTTATTTAGCCAAACTTTGAATATCAGTCGCCTTTCCCTAAATCTTATTGTTTTAGTGCACGGCATCAACCAACTAGTTTTATCTACTTGTGAACAATAGTTGTGAAGCTACCGTGTCACAGGAAATTTGTGTGCGTGAACAATTTTACGCATAATACCAAGATAACTACATGCATGATTACTCATATCTTAGGATATAACGCCTCTGTTCGGCTGAAATCAGCGGACATACACCAGAGATTTGGAGAATTGCATTCCCAAAACTGTTAAGAAATTATCCGAAACTATCTTTGCCCAGGTTGCTTGGTAGAAGTAGAATTTCTACCTGTGCCATTCAACTCCCCCTACGACTCTTCTGTAAAGAAGTAGCGTTGCTAAGGATTGGGTTAAATCGGCAGAGCAGTTGCTCGCAGCGTAATACTACTGCTGCTACTACTACTAATACAAATATAATAATAATAATAGATAGATTGCTCATCGAGTGAGAAACTGTGACTATATTTGGCACATATCATACTTTACAGAATATGTCGTGTTCATGCATTAATGGTAAACAGATGTGTGATTTTCATAGCTTTTGCTGTTTCAACGGTTTGTATTAACTCACGGGTGTGTTTCAACGCAATGTGCACTAGTTGGAATAGTGGTTGGCAACAGCACTATGGGGGTGTCATACAGTATTATATTTTTTGTTTCACTCATCAGATGTTGTCTGGATCTCCTTGGTACAAATCATAACGCGATCTATCCCAAGAGAACAGGGTCATAATCGTGTTCAAGTCTAGGTAATTAGTGAGCATAACCAGGAAGGCCGTTGCGATCTCATACGATCCGATTGTGACTGGGAGCTTACTCCAAAGGACAGCATATCTGATAAGGAAAAAGTTGGACCGCAGATTTATCCTGCAGCTGGGTACATTCAGGGTAAACTCCTTATTGCGTAGCTTCCATGTCGAACCATGTTGTAGTTCTAGGGAGAAGAAATAGCAGTGGGTGTTTCGATGAATCGTGTTGTACAGAAACATCAGGTTATGTCTCAATCTTCTTGGCCAAGTCAGATCGAGCTTGAATTGTTGGCAGCATTCCAGATAGTTCTTAGTGGATGGTTTGCGTAGAAGACGTTTGGTAAATGACCTTCTATACCTTCCAGAGACACTCTGTCAGATCTTCTCATGCTGCCACAAATGATATTGCAGTATTACAAAATAGGGCGAGTGAGTAGTTTGAAGAGTTCTACTCTGGATGGGGTTATATGGATCTTATGCAGTATGGAAGCCATTGGTTTTCTGGCCCTAGCCCACGCGCATACCACTTGTTCGGAAAATCTTAAAGTGTAAGAATCCCTGATTCCGAGCTCGCGGGTAAACAGCTGTACACAAAGACGCCCGCTGTTGAGTGTAATTGCTCCCTCGGATATCTAACAGTCGCGATACATGCTGCTAGATGTTTTCACCGAGAACATCATCATCTAGATGTCACACCATCTCTCAAGGGAGTGGAGATCTTCCTGTATGAGTAGTATTGTAGTTTGAAGTTCAGCTCGTCGGAATTTGTAGACTATCTTTATGCCATCTAAAAAAAGGGAAAGGCATGCCATGTTTGATAACACACTGATATCACTGACGTAGAGCAAGAACAGTAACGGACCAAGTACACTCCCTTGAATAACACCACTAGTGATTCGACGTGGCGAAGAGCGGTGGTCGGCTATGGTAACTACCTGAGAACCGCCGCTCAGCTATGACAATAGCCGACCTAGGAGTGGATCCTGCACTCCAAAGGAAGCAATCATTTTCAACAGCCGTTTACGGGACACTCGATCGAATGCATTTTCATTCCAGGAACAGAAATATGATTGCGTATCATGAGGCAATAGAATCTGAAACATGGTTTAGCTAATGTACTTAGTCGGTTATACACGATCGTTTGTCCAAGAAACCACGCTATTACCTGTCAATTAGCTGCAGTGAATTGAGACATTTCATTCTACCATTCTTAACCAGTTTCCCTAATAATCTGGCTACTACAGGGATGTGATGGATTGGCCGGTAATTGTTACTTTCTTGTTTGGAGCCATCAGTGTGACAGGGGATGATGAGCGATGTTTTCTAGTGGTCTGGAAAATAGCTTGACTCCAGAGAAAGGGTAAACTTGTTCAGCAATACTAACGGTATGTCAGGCCCTTCTAGTCTTATGACGGCAGGTGGGATACCATCGGAATCCAGCTGGGAAGGCGGTTTAGCAGTATTCATTTTGTGTTAGATGGCAACGATAAAAAATCCAATGTCACACAGGGCGTTGGTTGTTTGCATCCCAATTCATGAATTTAATATGGTCGTCTTCAGACTCATGGGGGTAGCGAAAGATGAGCTAGACGCTTTGGAGATGTCAGCTGGATCATGGAGACTGTCCGTCTGCATTAATCAGTCCATCGATTAAGAAGGAACGGAAATTAGTTATGTGACGCAGAATTTTAACAAGTTCTTTCGTGTTACATGTCGCTTGTAGAGCCATTTGTCCTTCGTGTATTCTCTTCATGAACTGTATGTGCTAGACCCTGTTAGTGAGGTTGTGCAACTGTAAAAGCAAGGTGAAATTTCCCGTCTTTATGTATGCAGCAATTAGTCTTCTGCTTTTCCGGCTGACTGAACGCACGATTGCGCCTTTTCGGACACGTATGATCCCCTTGTCTTGGCGAGTAACGACTACAATGGCCTGATGGGCCGGAGGGTAGAAATATTCTACGGCATTACACACATTGTTAGAGAGGAAGTATGCGTCTTATTCAGATGAACGGATAAATTGTTGGAAGTGCTTCCAGTTTATCCTATGGGTTGCATATTGAGGAATAAAGGCGGGTTTGTTGGCCAATTTAAATCAGAAAGTGAATCGTCCAAACTTGTGGTCGATATCAGAGAGTTTGTTTAATACGACTGTTTGTGCACTTGTGACCCTCAACGTGGATAACAGGTCGAGTATACTGGTCGCTCTTGTTGGTTCAGTAACCCCTTGTATCCAGCCACCAATTCTGAGAGAGGAAGGGAAAGCTGTATGTGTATACGAGAATGGTTGAGAGGACCAGTAACTCTTTGGTAAGTTAAAGTCACCAGCAACTACTGTCTGTGTGGTATCTCAGCAGCAAACTCGAAAGCTGAAGTTATGATGGTTACACTCGTGGTTGACGCAGTTGGCGAGTTGTAAACACATCCGAATAAAATGTGAGAACCGGTTCCTGAGACGGACAACCAGAGATTCGGACATATATGTTAGCTATGTATGGTCAAGAAGTTCTGCTGCAAATGTACAGTGTAGGTGTATCATGCATTCACCTCCTTTGCCTGTGCCGCAAGCTTTTCCGAAAAGTTCATAATTAGGAACTATTAAGGTAGAGTCTAATGTATCGGGGGAGCACCACGTTTCAGTAACAAGGATTGCTTGTGGGTCGTTGATATGTGCAAGCACGCCTAAGAGGTACAATTTGTTGTTAATCGATCCGGCATTAAGTAGACGTACAGAAAACGAACTATGGATGTGGGGTCAACCTGTCGCGGTTCGTTGTTATACGCTTTGTTGTAGTCAGGTATTATGGACGCAGGAGATATGAGTGCGAGTAGTGAGGGCGAGTCTATTCTTAGCAAGCGTGGTGATATGGGCAATATGTCCCTTGTGATTGCCGATATTGCTGTGGACATGGATGTGGTTGAGCGAACAAGTTTAAGTTGCGGTTGGCGTGGCAGTTGGCTAACCGAGTCATCTGCAAAAATTGCAGGAACAGTGGGAACAGATACTTGGCTTCTGCCGGGTATGCAAGTAGTGGGAAACGGCCGCGGCTCCATTCTCTCTTATACTAAAAGGGGTCGTACTGTGGAGTGTTGGGAAAGGCTGCACACATATGTGACGGGATGGGAGGTGGACTTGTCTTCGTGACATAGTTTATTCTGTCAGTACTGGGCCTGATTTGTGGTATGGAAGGGAATTATGGCGAGGGGTGTCTAAAAGACATTTGTTTCTGGTTGTGTCGGCTCAGGATGTCGATTTGTATAATGTTTGTGATGTTTGTTGGCAGATCTTATTAGTTTCTACCGTGTTCATCACATGCTTAAATTATTTGTTGGAACCGGTGTGGTTATGGGTTTTCTACATTATTGGCTTGACTGCAAAGGGAGCACTTTGGGGCATTAAGTTCAGCTTGCGACACTGCTACGGGGGCCTTGATACTCAGCTCTTCCAAATGTTTATAAGTTCCTCCATTACTTATGAACGGTGAATTCAATTCAGTTGATCCACAGGCGTCAAGATTGAGGAGGTACTAGTTAGTAGGAATTTGCTTAGGTAGCACTGCAGGATCGTCAGGAACAGTGGTGACCGAGGTCCGTGTCATATAAGGTGCGCTGCCAATATCTACTTCAAAGTGTCCAGTTGCCACGTTAGATAACTTTAGGAGCTTCGGTCTGAGAATACAACCCAAATAGCCGTTTGAGCTGATGATTGTGGCGAAATATCACTAAGGGATCTTTGTAGAGGCTTGCCATCTGCTTTAATCGATAGCACTTTAAATTGGGTCGGCAGGGCTATGGTGAGCTGATGACTCAACTATCGGTTCGCGGAGTCCTCAGTTAAAAATTTGAAAACGATCGGGCAGTCGTGTTTTGATGACTTCTTTTTCAGACGAAGGCAGTTGCATTCAAGCTTGGACATGTTGCAGGCACTAAGTACTGCAGTTGTAAGTTTACCCAAAGTAAGTACATCAGGAATATTAAAAACGATCACATTTTGCAGTATATGCATTCGTTCATGTACCTCAGACGCAATTGAGACGTTTAACTCCCCTGCCTTTCCCATTTGGTCTGGATCAAGGCTCTCCCATGGGTTACTGAGATAGTCTAATGGAGCCAGGCGATCTCGGATTGGCTTGACGATGATTACTAGTTTGCTCATCTCGGAGAGTTGGGGTTCCATCAGTTGACCTTATCACTAAGTTCTGAAATAAGAGTAGCAATGGGATCAGGACAGACTCGCAGTTCGGTCGGGGCCTCAGTTTTCGTCGGCTTTGTTCGGGCAGTGTATGAAACAATACTTTCGGCTTGCCGAGTAAGGCTAGCTGAGCCAATTTAAAGTTTACGAGTCCATCTCATTTTAGCTTAAACAGTTACTCCACTTAACAAAGTAGGGGATTATCAAAATTCATACAGCACACTAGTGTGGGTGTGCCTCTCATGAGCAGAAAGAAGGTTGGAAATAAGTCGGAATACTGATAGCTGGGGTTGCTCTTCATTTGTCAATTTGCTAACCGAGCTGGACCATCCGAATGAAAACGTATCGTCACCAGGCTAGGTGACATCGTCATGGTTCGTTGGTTAAACATTTGGTTGCGGATATTGCCAAAAGGCAAGTTCACCCACTCCAACTTGGTTCTCTGCCAGTATATGCAACAAAACCGCTAACCGCTCAATGCAAGTGTCCAGAGTCAGGAATCGTTATCAACTTGCATCGCAGATAATGGAACGACAGTAGCAAGTTCCAATGCCGAAGACTTAGTAACACATGACAAGATATATCAACGTTTAGCTCATTATGCAAACACTGGGTCACTATGTATTCTAAGGGATCAACTAACGAATCCAGGATGAATAAATTTGGCTTATAATTAAAGATGTATTCCGGATAATCGGGTTTTTTGCATTCACTATAGCTCAGTTGAAGAACTATGATCCAAGGACCAAAATGTGGTGGATCCAGTTGTCACGACTCATCTCACAAGAATAGCAATACATAACAACGGCAAGATAGCGGAGTTAACAGCAAATAGAATGTAAAGAACACAGAAGCAAGAAGCAAGTGCGTTAACCTAACCAGAAAAATAACAAAAGTAGCAAGCGGCTACAAGGAAATGAATGCAGGAACCTCACTGGCTGCGTACTTGTGCCATGTCAGATACGGTCTCTAACCATTAGTGTGGACCATCCCGAGGCTTCCATCCACGAAGAAGTCAAGCACCAGCCTGACCAAGTCTCTTAGTCAATTTCTTCAAGCCTCCATGTCACCTCATTGACTGGCTACATCGATGTTACGCATAAACTGGTGCAGCAAAGGCACACCGAGGGAGCCGATCAACGGGCATACGGAGGATATGGCCCAAACAAAATAAGCGATTAAGATTCGGCAAACACTCTATTAAGGCACTAGTTGACTTCTTGCCAAACTCAACTAGCGGACCTCAGCATTGCTCACCCGGTGTTCCAATCGAACGTGAGCAATATTTCGCCAGCACCGGTGGTCAAACACGGCCAAGCGAACTGGCCATGTCTCTGATCCATACAGTAAGATCTGCCTTATTACAGTAGCAAACGCCTACCTTTAACTGACAAGCTGATATCCCGCCGTCTCGACAGATGCTTGAGTCTCTGGAAAGCCACACGGGCCCTGCTGGTACACGAAGTAAATTCCTCACTGATGTAACCACCAGATGTGACACGGCTACCAATGAAGGTGAACCGATCAACCACTTCCAGTGGCTGTTCGTGGTAGCCAGAACAAAGGGGTGCCAGTTTACTCCTACAGCAGTACTTTGCACTTTAAAGGTGCGAAGTACATGCCGAAGCGTGCAACGATACGCGTCAGTATACCCAATAGTTTGCGTAACCAACGCATTGGACCCAAGGAGAACTATGTCGTCCGCATACTCCAAGTTTGTCAATTGGTCACCTTGCAGAAGCTTCAATTCGGTAGAGTCTGAAAGCACTAACTGATCCGTGATCATTTCGCTTAAGAAGTTGAAAAGGAAAGGAGATATCGGACAATCCTGGCGAACCCCACTCGTCTTGGGGAACTCAGGTGACAATCGTCCATAGGCCTTTACACGGCTTCAGAAGTCACGATAGATATTGCACAATGGAAAGGAATTTAACCGGCACGCCCTTCATAGATGGGTAGTCCATAAAGCTGGCGCGATCAACAGCGTCGAAGGCGGCTTTCATGTCGTGAGAAACTACCATAATCCGTCGTCTGTACGTGTGCTAAAATTTTGTGAGGAGCAGCTGTGTGGTCGGTACAATTACGAGCAGGACGGAAGGCAGTGCTTTGCTTCTCACTGGGACCAGTTATTTGTCGGAGAATGATACCCGTCAGAAGTTTGGTATTGGAAAAGAGACCAATGCCTAGATGATTTGAGCACAAAGTAGGCTGACTCTACGTGAAAATAGACACGAAGCTTGATAGTCCCCAGTGTGAAGACACTTCTTTAGAGTCAATGGTGTTGAAAAGAGAAGCAAGCCCATCAACAAAGAGTTACCTCCATTTTCGAGCAGAGATGGCGGAAGGTCGTTGCGTTCAGTAGGCTTGTTTCGCTTCGACCAGGAAAGCCTGGGTTGGCTATTTTTCTGAGTGTTTTGTGACAACTACTTCCTACGTCAGAAAGCAACAGTATTAAAGCAGGGTTAGTAAACTGCTCTTCAAAATTTTCCATCCAACCGGTTAGTTGATGACGCTGAGAATGAATTAACTGTCTATCGTTTTCAGCCGTTGTCTCACTAACTGATATCTTTCTCGGACCCGAGTTTCGGATGATCTGGAATAGCATTCAGCTCTTCCCAATTGTACGGGCTTTCTCCATTTCACTTGTCTTAGGAACTCATCAACCTTCCCGGTCAACTTGTAGACTTCATGTCTGACGTTGTTGAAGAGAGTTACTAAGACGATGCAACTCAGTGGTCATCGGGACCTTTGTCTTTGCTTTGATCAAGCTGATGGGTGCCTCAGATATCACTTGCCATTCACGACATCTCAAGTTGGGGGTACAGCATGCGTCAAATGCATTATTCATGGCACATTTGAGACGATCCCAGTCAGCATTCGGTTCACTAACCTCACCAATCACTGACAATTGGTAAGCCAGTTCGTCATCATTTTGCCGGACTGCAGACTGCAAATTCAAGTTACAGGTAAGGTTAGAAGATAGAGGCTTCTTTGAAGGAGGAAGAGTGAGCATCAAGCATGCACGCACTAGAGCGTGGTCGGAACCCAGACACGTGCGCGAAATTAGCCGACAATCTTGGACTAATGTGCAACATCTGTATCTGACGGCAATATGATAAATTTGAGTACAGCTTATTGAAGAATTCGATGGGCGTCAGGTCACGTATTGTGCAATTTGTGCTGGAAAGCATTGCAGCTGAAGTAAGGATTGTCGTTGGCGCATAATTGCAGGAATCGATCACCATTATCTGTTCGGCGTGCATCGACTCCCAAGCGGCCGCCCAGGTGTCGAGCAGTATCTGAAAGACGACCCACTTGGGGATTCATGTCACAAGCAGCAGTCACGATGTCAGCATTCTTCACCAAGCGAAGAGGAGATGAAAGCTGTCGATACGAAGCTTCTTTGATACCCTCTGAACTGAATTCAGTAGCTGCCTAACCTGAGGCCATGAAAGGACACCCTGTCTTCAGACGCTGCTCAGTAACTCCAACAGCAGTTCTAAGTCAACCGCGGACATGCATCTGTTCACCATTATCCAGTCGAGCTGATAACATTCAGCATGTTTGCTGAGGGCAATACTGACACCGTAAATACCTTGAGCTCTTTACTCAGTATCAATAGAGACGCAATGAGTTTAGTCATCTTCATAAGTTTCGGAACAAGGGAGTTGAAGCTTTGTCACGACACTGTAACCTTGTATTCTTGTTTCGGAGACACCGTACACATCCATACCAAGAACGTGAAGAGTAAAGTTTAGTGTTGCCTGGTGGACTATCTGACCTAGCGAGTGGAAGTTAAAAGAAACCAGTGTGGAAAGCAAATCTAACTTTGATGAAAGTGCTACATGTATTGAAGGTACCAACTGAGAGACCAGCGACAATCTCTTGCTCAGTAAGCGGGGAAGAAGAGGTAAACTTGTCGATGTGCTTGAGAGAGCAGATGCCACTCACAGGCTGTCCATTCCGAGGGAGGGATTTTGCTCGAGGTGCCGTGCCACTATTCATTGATTCAACTGTGTGGCTCACAAGGCAATAGTGTATATTGAGGTTCACCTGCGGAACTCCACCCGGAGCTTGCGGCTCAATAGCCTGGCTCACAAAGCAGTGGGGTGCAAGTCCAGCACTGGAAGGATATTCCAAAGACCCATTATGATCCGTTTCAGGCCTGTTAAATACAGTTTGCATATTTAGTACAATACACCCGTGTTTTAAGTCCGTATTATGTTACGCACCTACGATCTGGACTAGTCGCAAGTGGGAGTTTGCGGTCTTCACCAGTTTGAGCATGGGCTGATGAGCTTGAGACGGGTGGTAGCAAAATTTCGAGGACCGGAAGACACCCTCACATCGTCAGGGAAAATGCGTGGCGTTCGTACTCTACCCCAATCGAGCTGTGAGCTTATAACCTGTAGAGTTGTTGTCACTCATAGCTAAGTTTTAAAGTAAGTGGGCCATGGACCTCTCCCTAACCTCTGAGAAGGAATAGATTGTGAGATAGGGTTAGTCTGATCCCTAACCATTGATCTATCTGGTGTAAGTGGCTCTGAAGGCACTTGGAAATTGACACCCAGCATAGCTCATGAGATCATGTGGGTTCGCGAACCAGCGCACTACGCTAGTGTCCAGTCTCATTGCGATAGGGGGTTTTGCACAGTGATGAATACAGACTTATAAGTGGAACTTTGGTGTCTTGTACATCCAAATAAGAGGGTGCAAATGATAAGTAATAATACCAGAACGTACACTGCAACACTAAAAGTGCAAATAATTGCTATTAACCTGGTATAAATGAGTAGTAAAACAACTTACTTTCGTCTTTTGGAAACTTGTTTTCCTTTGACGTAATTTGTTTTATCCCGGACTCGGTGCCATAAAAAGCTTGTTCAGAAACTAATTTCGTAGAAACATCACCAGAGGTATTCATTTCTTGCTGACACTCCACCGGTTCGAAATGTGGTTTGGGAGTTTTCCGCTGTAGGTCCTGATTGTGCTCATCTTCTACCAAATCCAAACTATCAAGAAACAATTTGAGTCCAGGGTGGTCACTTCGTTTATTGCCATTCTTGTCAACAATCAAGGACACCACAGATTCCACATCAAGCTGGAAGTGTGAAGTAGCAGTAAATGCTGCTATGGCTCATAACGGCAAGCAAATTGAAAACTTTGTGCTTTTATTCCATTGTCTTGAAATGTTTCCAATTAAGCATGCTGAAGGATTCCAGTTGTAACTCAACAATTCCCTATGTTAGTTCAGTCGGTGATATGGCAGTTGGGATATTATGTTTTGGTATTGGCCTCCTAGGCCATAAGTTTGTTACTGTACTGGCTTTTGCTCGAGCATCAAGCACTGCACAGCACTTATGTTTAACCACCGTTTTCCAGAGAAATGTCGCTGAAATTTCTGTTTCAGTTTAATGGACGTACTTGTTCCGTTGCAGAATGGAGTTACACTTACAATTGAAATAGTCATGTAGATTTATTACTAGGCAATTGTTCTAGTCTAGAAGGGTTCCAATGATTCGGCGCCTAGTATAGACTACCAATGCAATCGAATCCATGGGGGTTACAAAGTAGTAGATTTGATAAAGGATATCCATTCACTGATGAAGTTGCTACAGAGACATTAACACAGCAGACTGCAAAATGACAAATTCGAATGTGTCTCATTTCGGCGAGTTAGCTGCTTCTTCACAGAACGTTCAGAAAGCTCTACTTGGGCTAAGGAAAGTAACTACTTCACTGTTTGTTGTGCGTGTGTGTGCCAATGCGGTATCTGTTACTCACATTATTTGCGCAATTTTGTTACCAGATGTTTTATAGTTCGTTTTTTCGGTCTGGCGACTAAATACAGGACGCCTTTGAGAAGCACTGACAGCGTCAAGCTAAGTGCTAGAATTAACAACGGGATTACACTGAAGATGAGAACGCACTAAATAAAAATCGAGTCGTTTTTCGAGAAACAATGTATATTTAGAAGTGGTACCCGGCACATATTGGTTGGCACCTATCGCAATGATCACTAGACCATTGAGCTCCGTGAGCACTATGAACAATAAATTTATACGGGTTAAGAAGCGTTGCTTTACAAGTCATGTTGGATAGTTGGTGGGGATATCAACATAACGATAATGATGCTAAGGATAGTAAGATAGTTAATACCTTAAATATGAAAATAAGGGCTTATCGTTTGCTCCGCTGTAGTCATGCGATCCTCTTAGATTCACAGCACCCACAGTTAACAACAAAGAATTTCATGGTATACCCCAGGTGCAGGATGGAGACGTAGTGTTAAGTAACAAAGTGTAAATGGATGTGTGCATCGTCCAACCGTCTTTTAAATACTGTTAGTGTCGGTGCAGAGACGACCGATTCTGGGAGAGCATTCCACGGATGATAGACACGAATGGAAAGGAAATTTCTGCGGAACTCCAGACGATTGTATTGTTCTGCGAGTTTTAATGAGTGGCCCCTCAGGTTTGTGTTGTTGCTGAGTTGCAGTAAATGGCGGCACACATGATGTGGGTCACGCAGAATCAAGTATGCCATAATCAGGTTACGTCGTAGTCGATGACAATTTCCACTGAACAAGCCCAATCTCTGTAGCCTCTCCTTGTAAAAAAGATTGCGCACTACAATTATGTTCTTAGGAGCCTGGCGTTGTGGCTGCCGCAGTGCATTAAGTTCGTGTTTCAGCCATGTATGCCAGGCTTGAATTGCGTATTCGACATGGGGGCGAACGTACGCACTGAGCATTTGTCGAAATATGGAGCTGTTTATTTGTCCAAACCCCAGCCGCAACAGCCCGACTTGTTGGTTCCCGGTCTTTGAGTCCTTTTCGGATTGCCTGGAGCAACCCAAGTCATCTTGAACCAGGACACCCAAGTCACGTTCGAGAGTTGATTGTTGAAGTACATCCGTTCCGAGTCGGTATGAGTAGCTGCTCTGATGTCGGGTGGAAAGCACCTTGCTTTACTGATGTTGAAATGCAATAAGTTTTGGGTCGACCATTGATATACCGTATCTAAATCACACTGAAACACATATTGGTCGGCGTTCGCCTGGATCCTACGCCAGATTTTGATATCCTCGGCAAACACTAGAAAATTTGAAGTGATTCCCTGTGCAAGGTCATTGATAAACAACAAAACAAACGTGGACCTAGAAATGAGCCTTGCGGCACACCACACTCGACTTGTATGGGGTCCGATAAAGAGCTCCGAACTCTGACCACTAATAGTCGTCGAAATAGAATGTTGGCAATCCAGCTTAAAAGAGGGTCACCGATCCCGTAATGCTGCAGCTTGGAGAGTAGTATCCAATGGTCTAGATAATCGAAAGCCTTGGAAAAATCCAGGTAGATCACATCAACACGTTCGCCAGCGTCAGCTGCCTCGGTCCAACTACTGCGTGCAATTAGTAAATTAGTTGTACATGACCGCAGTCGACGGAAACCGTGTTGCTTAGGCGTGATGATGTTGCAATTTTCCAGATAGCACACCAGTGCATAGGTAACTATGGATTCCATGACCTTGGAGAGTATAGAAAGAAGGGATACTGGGCGGTAGTTGGAGGGGTCAGTTCTGCTTCCATTTTTGTGAATCGGGGCTTATTAATTCCAAGCTTCCACATGGCGGGAACTTGGTTATGGTCTAAGCAGCGCTGGAAAACCTGAGCTAAAGATCCTGGCAGTTGGCTTGCTGTTGCTTTTACTGCCTTTGGACGAATGGAGTCGACACCCGGCGAGCTGTGTTCGCGTAGAGACGTCAGCTTTTGCAATACGGCCTCTGCGGTAAAAGTGATGTGAGTTAGTCCTGGCGAGCAGAAAACAAAGCTTGGTTAATCGCTTGGTCGCAAGACCCTTTGAAACGTGGGGGCGTATTGAATCTGCAGTGCGTTTGCTGCTTCCATAGCCGTGCTTGTTGGGCCATCAGCCGTCTTGATTGGAGGAAATCTTTGTCTCACGTTTCGTAGGCTGTTAACGTGCTTGTACATCAGTTTGTGGCTAGCACTGTAGGTTGTTGAGATGTTCTGCTGATAGGCGGTTTTGTCTTCTCTTAACCGTTGAGTGCAGTGGCTACGTTGGGCTAAGTATTTGTCCCAAGTTTCTGGTGCTGGAGCTTCCCTGTACTCTCGCCATTCTGCGTTGCGTACTGTCATCCATTTTGAAGTTCTGCTCCTAACGAAAGCAACAGATTTACACTTATTGCAAGCTTTTATCGCTGAAGCCTGTCAATCAGCTGACTGAATTTTTTGACGGACGCGAGCCAGGCGACTTCCGGAGGTTCGCCTTCGAGGAAAGACTAAGTTGTGGTGCTGACGAGCTGGGCTAATCGATCGTTGCTTGTGCTGATTCACACATTATCATAATTATCATTCAGATATTCTGCGTAGCAGACGTAGTTGAAAATAATGACTGCGTGATCACTGCGACCCAACGGGCAGTCTAAAACCAACCCCTCAAACATATTCTCCTCGTTAGTAAGCAAACAATCCAGCACTGATGGCCTGTTACCAGTTCTGAACCGAGTGGGCAAAGTGATGTGGTTGTAAAGAGGAACAGTAGTTACTAGATCTTGTAGATCGGTTTGAATTGGCCTCCGATCGTAGCGGGAATTTCTAAACGATGTACGTTGAAATCACCCATGATAAGAAGGTGAGTGTACTTTTGTTGTAAGCTGCACCTTAAAGCAGCCGCTAGGTGGTAGTCGGTTTCAGGTGTTGAGTTAATGGCGCGGTACACCAAGACAAAAAGGCAAGCGTTCCTGCCTTTTAACTGCAACCGGCACCAAAGAGTGTCGGGGAACTGCGAGTCTGAATCCTCCACGGCTTCGCACTGTGAGTCGTTTCGCTAATACAGGATTACCACTTCTCCTTTTGTGAGCCTGTCGTTCCGGATCAGCGACATGCCCGGTAGCGAAACTTCAGCGTCCGTCATTCCCGTGTCTAACCACGTCTCGGTGATACCAATGACATCATACGACCCGGAAGCTTGGCGATCTTTTAGTTCAGTCAGTTTGTTAGTCAGACCCTGAGCATTCGTGTACAAGCAGACCAGTTTCTCGGTCACTAGGAGCCCACAGAGAGGTGAAGCGGTCACGTGTGGGAGAATGCCGACCGATGGGAGGTCGGCAGTTACTCGTTTTTTTTTGGTGGGACAATGATACCTCGTTTACAACTTGATTCGGCCAAGGTGCGGCCCAACCTTCTTTTAGACCTACGTCAGAGTCAATTAAAGCAACAGTCAAGTTACGCTTTTGTACATTCGTCGGTATGCTTGCTGCTTCAGTTGCTTTAATATTTGAGCTGTGCGAAGTGTTTGAGACATTTAACCGAATTTCGGAAGGAAGATGTTTCCGATTTCTTCGCCATCGATCCAAAACATCCTTTGCTCGTTGCTCTGACTGAACCACAAGTTTTAGGAGTCTATGGCCGCATCCTCTATAATTTGGTGAGAGAGGTATCCTGGTGAGCGATAGTGACACAATATTATCCAAAAGAAGTGTTACACGAATGAACCACCACAGTTCTAAATCATGCTTTCCAGTTTCTTGAACATCGTTAGAAGGATATGCTGGCACGCCATGTACGAAGATTGTGTTTAGGCGGTCTTGCTTGCTGTGCCACTCTTCGGTGTTTCTTTTTGATTGTCGCGAGCTCCAAGGGACATCAGGATAGATACGTATCCCACAGGATCCTTGTTTTAGTGCTTTTGCGGAGGGAAAGAGGTTTTCTACGTCGGTGGAGGATCCCAGAATTACTCGAATAAGTCTGGCTTCGCCATAGTATGGCGCGTTCGGATGACGAGTAATTCGTAACAAGTTTGTGGGCTTGGCTTTGATACTCATTGGTTCCGTTGGTCTTGGTCATCTGATAACTTTTCCCGCAATGTGATGGCGGCAGATTCAGGGACATTTGAGCATACAACAGTCTGGGCACTGTTGTTGGATCACTTTTTTGTCGATCTACAAGGTATGGTACTCGTTCGTCCTGATTTGTTGACAATTGTTGATTGTTTGCTGTTTGTCTTTCTATTCGCGTTAACGGTGTTTACAATGGAAGGCCGTAACGGCGGTCTCTCGGTGGACCCTTGCAGCAATCTCT